CCTGCACCCCCACCCCTTGCACAAGCCCAGAGCCTACACCCAAACTCCGTCCCAGAGTCTGCACCCCTCACCCCCCCCGTACTCCTACCCCTACCCAGAGCCTGCACCCAAACTCCATCCCGAGTCTGCACCCCAGACCCCCCTCCCCCACCCAAACTCCCTCCCAGAGCCCAACCTCTCAGCTGTCCTGCACCCCAATCCCCTGCCCCAGCCCAGGGCCTGCACCCCAGACCTCCTCCCCCCCACCCAAACTCCCTCCCAGAGCCTTAGGCAGGTGGGGGGGGGCAGAGTTTGGGTGGGGGTGGAGTTTGAGTGGGTGGGTTCTGGGCACCACCAAAATTTCTACAAACCATTGATCTCTCCTGTTTCAACTTGTTCAGGACTTTAAGGAGTAAAGGCATCAGGGGATTCCTGAAGGGATAACTACAGCATCTCCCAGACAGTTCTAACTGCCACCGGCGCCGACTTTGTTCTTTCCCAGGCGGCTGCTTGACCCCCGCTCCCCCACAGGTCCTGCTCCTACTCCACCCTGTCTCTTCCCACTCCCGCCCCTGAATGTTCCTGCCCTCACTCCTCCCTCCTACACCTCCCAGCGCCTCCTGCATGCCACTAAACAGCTGATCCATAGTGGGTGGGAGGTGCTGGGGGTAGCACTTATTGATGGGGCTGCCATTGGGCAGGAGGCACTGGGGGGGGAGAGGAGCTGATGGGGGGCTGCCAGTGGGTGCTAAGCACTCACCATTTTCCCCCCAGGGGTGCTCCAGCCCCCGAGCACCCATGAGTCGGGACCTATGCTGACTGCATCCTCCTCTCAACCAGAACCATCAGCACTTCGCACTGGAAGGCATCACAAACAGATCTATTTCCAGAAGACTCAAGATAAGGCAAATCTTCTGGAATACTGCATCGATGAGCTCTCACTTGTGGTCGTGGCCCAAAAATCTGCTCACAGAGACTGCTACTATGTTCCGTAACCCCAGTAGATAAACCACTGATCTCTCTGTATCCTGTGATACGCATCATTCCATAGTTTTATGGATTCTGTGCATAAGAACTGGGATCTTGCTCCTCCTTGACAATTTACATAATGCATTGCTGCTCTGTTGTCCAACATCAGTCTGATTGAGAGGTCCCGGATATGCTGTAGAAAGCAATGGTAAGTGTAATGGACTGCCCTGAGTTCTAAAATGTTGATATGGAGAGCCATCTCCTGGGGAGTCCCCTTGCCTTGAGCTGTGAAGTTAGTGAAGGTGAGTGACCCAACTTAGCAGAGAGGCATCTGTGGTGATCTTTGGGGGAGGCGGATTTGAGAACAGTACTCCCATACAGACCTTTTTTAGGATTTTTTCCCCCAATTGAGGGAGTTGAGGACCTTCTGGGTATCGATACCTGCTTGGACAGATGGTGTTTTTGGGGTGTGTAGACTGTTTAGTCAGGCTTGAAGATAATGGGGGTGTAATCTTGCCAAGGATGGTATGAATTTACAGGCTGCCACATGGCCTGGGAGCTGAAGGTTTGTGGGCTCTGTTATATTGTAGAAATGAGGCTAGGTATTGTAGCAAACCTGCCTGTGGGTAAGTATGCTCTGGCAATAGTAGAGTCTAGAGGAGCCCCTGTGAAGTTTGTCCATTTTGCGGGTAGGAGCGTAGACTTTCGCATTAAGGCAGAGGCCCAAAGAGCCTTGCTGGATGCTAACTGTCACTCAAGAAATGAGCAACCCTTCAGAAGCTAGCTGGTCAGGTAGGAAAAGAGGATTATCTCCATTTGACCGATATGGGCTGCAACAGCCAAGACAACCTTTGTAGAGATCCTTGGGGCAGTGGAGAGGCTGAAGGGTAGGACCCGGTATTTGGTAATGGTCCCTAGCACCAACGAAACATCTGTGGGAAGAGTGCATGGATATATGAAAATAAGCATCCTGAAGGTCCAGGGAGACAAACCAATCTCCCAATTCCAGAGGGAGAGTTACCATTCTGGCTGCCAGAGTTACCATTCTGAACCACTGCGACAGGAGGTGGGAGGGAGCTAGAGCTGAACTGAACTGAACTGAACGGAGTAGCCTGTTGAAATCACTTCCAGGATCCATCTGTTAGAGGTGATGAGCTGCTAGGAAGGAGTGGACCCATGGGCACTGCTGACAAAAATCTCTGATCAAGAATGCATGGGCACATACACATCCTGAAGTGGAGCATTCACAGCTACAATTACTTAAAGAACAAAACTTCTGATAGCTGAGAAATGTTAGACGGTTGTTTAGAATTGTGGAAGTTCCAAGATATCAGCATCAGAGTATCCCAATGTTTTCCTTTTTTAAAATCAAGATCTCCTAGGGTGACCAGACAGCAAATGTGAAAAATCGGGACAGGAGGTGGGTGGTAATAGATGCCCATGTAAGAAAAAGACCCAAAAATCAGGACTGTCCCTATAAAATTGGGACATCTGGTCACCCTAATATCTCCACTCTGCACCCAGTTCCTCTCAGTATTTTTAACCAGTACTTTATATAGAGTATACATGTGGATATGCCTTTGCCAGTGCAACCCAGTGTCAAAAAAAAAAAAAAATATCCTAAGAATTAAATGATTTTGTTTTATTTTGTTAGGTACTTGAAGGCTTTCCAGCTTGGGTGATCCATAAATAATTAAAATATTTATGGATATGGATAATTCAACAGCAGTGTTTTCATCTTAGGCAACTACTATATCCAATACTACAACTAGCAGCCTCCAGGAATTCCAGGTTTTTCATGCCCTCTATCAGATTCCACCACCTCTGTTTTCAGAACACAAGATCTAAAATATGACTGAATTAATCTACCATTTCACAAGCACAAATTCTTATACAATTCACTTAAAAATCTCATTAAAAATGCAAGGACATGGTTATTTTATTTCATGCTTTCTTTTTGTTCAGTACTTCCATGTTTCCGGTTTCTGTTCCATAGAAGTTTTTTTTTTTTTCATATTCACATTTCAGCTATTTTCACCTCCTACTAATTTTATTAGGCTTCCTATCTGTGTGAGTAACATCTGTTCTTTTCCTCTATAATTATGAAAGTTATTTTATTGTAATGTTTTCTATTTATAGCATTTTTTACATTTTAGTTCCTCTGCATTTTTATTTCATTCCCAACCTTATTTTATCCTTGCATGTTTCCTATAGGAGAAAAAGATGCTGAATTGGTTTTCTATCCTCTTCTCATTTTTGCTGGAGAAAATGGAACACTCACATTGATTATTAATTTCATAAAATAAGACAGTAAAAGTACAACCCAGCCCAAAGAGAGGTAACAATACATCTGCAAAAAGATGCTATTATGTCTAAGGGATGCTGTTAGGCTCAGTTAATTAGTGTATGTAAAGCACTTTGAGACCATACACTGTAAAATGCTATTTAAGGGCCCAATTCTGCAGATACAGAAATTTTACTCATGTAAGTTCTATAATTGACTTAACAGGACTGTTTATGTGAGGTAAAGCTACTGAGACATCTAAGTGTTTTCTAGACTGGATTCTAAATCACAAATAATAGCCCAGGTTGTTGTTTTCTCCCTCCTTTCTTTCTACACTCACAAGAAATGACCCTCCTGGCACAAATCCCAGAGTTATCTTGGTATGTCAAAGAGATGGGTTGGACATTACACAGGCCAGGTTGGGGACATAGTGGAAGGAGTGGAAAAGACAGGTGGATCTGGAAAATCACTGGACAAGCCACAGTTTAAGACTGTTCTAGCTTTTCCACAGGTTCTGAGTAGCCACCATGGCGAGCATGTGCATACATGCCTGGCAGCAAAAAGGCCAACAGAAGCACACTGCCAGGATCCAGAGAACCAGCGCATTGGCATAGATTCTCTGTGCAGATGACCCTAGACTCCCACAAGGTTTAGGTTTGGCCACTCCAGAGGACATCATCTTGTCCCTTATTGTTGTTTTTTACATTAAATTAAAATTCAAGAGAAATAAAATTGCTACGTGTTCACAAGTTCCCTTTTGTAAACAAATATGAAGAGATTAGGTTATTTCAGATTAATTCCTTTTTCAATTTTCATTAGCTTGCAATGAGTTGAAGCTAACAAAAGGCTATCAGAAGCCCAGAATACTTCTCAGAAAGGAACATTTCCAAGTTACCTCTTTGAATTTTCTGTTTTAAGTGCATTATCTTAATCGGTTTGCAAAATGTGGTATAGCTCACAGCACCATGACAATAAAGGAGAGAATGTATGTGCAATACTTGAGGCTTTTTAGATGGTTACTACAAAACAACAGCCACTAGTTGAGAACGATGGGGCCTCCAAACCTACACCGATCTCCGGACAAAATAACAGGACTGCATAAAAATACAAGCTACCTAGTCAATAAATTCACTGACCATCAAACAAGCTCATTTCTATGGAGAAAAGCAAGTAATTGGAAGCGCGCACTAGACTCCAGGCTGGGACTGACTTGTTTACAGGCAACATTTACAGACCAAGGTAAAGAACCGAGAGTGGTGGTGACTAGTCAATTCGCTGTCGCTCACGTTTTCCAACTCGCTATAAACAGGCAAAGATTTCGGATCAGCCTCCCCCCCTCCAATTAAGCACCCCACCCCCCACGGGGGCCGCTATGCCAGCGTCCGCTCGGAAACGCTTCCAGGAGGCCAGCTGAGCCTTTGATGTTTCTGAGGCTGGAGGCGGCTTCTTCCAGCGCTTACATGTTCGTTAGTGCAACGAAAGCAGCTCGCTCCTGCGCGGCCGGCATTTTCCACATGCCCGCCCAGCCCCTGGCAGAACCAACGGCGAATCAGACCCGCTCACCTCGGTAGGACCGGAGACATGGACCCACACCTCCGTCTGCTGCCTCCGCTAGCGCTCCCAGCAACCCCCCAACCACAGCGCGCCGGTCACGGCCCCGGGCAGTGCCGGGGCTGGGAGGATCCCCCCGCCCCACGGAGCTCCCCACCCAAGGCCAAGCGGCTGGGCAGGCTCTCCCGGCGCGGACCGCGCAGCCCCCGCCACTCACCTGCCGGCGTCGCGGAGGCTCGGAGACTGCAGCGCGGCTCACGCCCCAGCAGCCTGGCTCGGGGAGCGGCACATGGCGGGGCTGGCTCCGCACGCCAGCCAGGGGCCCCGCTCAGCGACTCCGGGAGAAGGAGAGGAAGAGGCGGCGGCTCAGCCCCCCGCAACAGCCCCGACTGGCAAGAGGAGGCGCGCGCGCTTCAAGTCCTTCAGGTGCATCAGAGCCGGCGCGGCGCGAGTCAAATCCCAACGGCCTTGGAACCAGTGCGTGCCGCCCACGCGCATCCCAGGCGCTTCCTGGGAAAGTCCATTTTATTGGGAGGGCAGGGGTTGACGTGACAGAAAGTGAGGCGGGGGGAGGGCAGAGCACGTGCTGGTTTAGCCCACTGCGGCCTCTCCCATAGAGGGAGCTGTTAGGGCCCCACTGCTCAGGTTCCTCAAGGTAGGCTGGACCCACTCTTCCCTTCCCATCGGGGTGTTTGTGCACATGCACGCCCTCATTCAGGCATAGGGTGACCAAACAGCAAGAGTGAAAATTGGGACAGGGGGTGGGGGTAATAGGAGCCTATATAAGAAAAAGACCCAAAAATCAGGACTGTCCCTATAAAATCAGGACATCTGGTCACCCTATTTAGGCAGGGCATGCACAGAGGGGGTGTGTGCACATGCACACCCTCATTCAGGCATGGCCTAACTCAAAATCACAGTGCAAGGGCTTTTCATGCCAGCCTGAGTTAACCCATCACCGGGTCCTGAGCAAACACACACTGCTCCTGGGCATGTGCAAAGGGTAGGCCAGGGGCTGGAGCACAAGCCCACTCAGCAAGGGCAGCTCCTGTCCTGTGGAGCTGGTCCCGCTCTTCACTCTATGTATAGTGCAGAGTTGCAGGACTACTCAGGGTTAGGCTAGCATGCCAGGTCACAATGCCTGGAGTTGGGAGCCTGGGTCCAATCCCTCAGACAGAAGCTGTGTCTCAGATGAACATAAGGGGGCTTGATCTCAACCCCTCTGCCACATTTTAGACCTAGGTACATGCCTAGTTTGCCTCTGTGTTAATCCAGCTTCATCCTGCACCCCTGTGGAGCACTGGGAGTGCTTCGGCCTATGCTGTATGCAGAGCACCACGAGCAGCCATCCAGCCACAAGGAACACCAGAAAAGACAAGGTTACTTTAAAGCGTGTGGCAAAAGTATAAACCTGCCTCCTGCTTGAGGTTTATAGAGTAAGCAAACCATGAGCTGCCTTGGGAGTGATAGGTGTTTAATGGGACACAGGGTTCATCAACAGAGCAGACTCCCCAAGCAACCACTGTTACTTCTTGTGTTTAATGGACGGTTCTATACCTATAAATAATTATGTAAAAATCAGGCCTGCCAACAGCAATTCCAGACCCCAGGGCACAACAGTCAATGGGTCCCCTAGAAAGGGATGGCAGAGGTTTGATTCGTGCAGGGAGGGCTGGGGGCAGGCCCCCCGCTGCTGCTGGCCCAGCGTCACCACATGGGCATGGAGCTGGACCACGTGCAGTGGCTGGTGCACACATGCACAAGCCACGGACATGGTCCGCCTGCCATTTGGGCAGTGCTGCACCTGTGCTGGCTGGTGTCCAGCGAGCTGCCTGCTGTGCTGCTAGGCATGCTCTTTCAGCAGGGCAGGGCTTCCACATGCCTGCTTGGCTGCCATCGGTACCACCCCACACACGCTTAGGAGCCCTGTGGCCCGCCCGGGCAATTGCCTCCTTTGCCCCCGCATCAGCAGGCCTGGTAAAAATGGGACCTCTTCTTTCTGGGTGGATTCAGTTAGATCAGCTGACCAAGCTAAAAAGTGGGCTTTAGTTGCCTTAGTCTTAAAGGGCCAACATAGCAAGCTGGTGTCTATTCTGGCTGATGCACTAAAAAGAATTAACTAATTTCCAATTCATGGCCAAATTCTGCCTTATGTAGTACCCCTGCAACAGCACAGAAGAAAATGGAGTTGGACATGTCAGTGAAGTTTTAGAAGTAAGGGACTTTTTTCTCACCCAGCTATTTCAATTTAAAATATAAGTAATGTTGAAGGAAAAGGGAGAGAATGGGGAAGAGATAACCAACCGAGGAAATGTTCTTCCCTCTAAGTAGGGTGACCAGATAGAAACTGAAAAAACGGGATGGGGTGAGGGGTAACAGGTGCCTATATAAGAAAAAGTCCCCCAAAACAGGACTGTCCCTATAAAAATGGGACATCTAGTCACCCTACCTCTAAGTCACGTGACCTCTAACTATAAGCATTCACTGTTTCCTAGCTCCCTTTCTTTCCCCTCCCCCCACCTTTGTAATGTGGTGTTGATCCTTTCCAGCGTGCTTCACAAAGACATTCTTACAGCACCACTGAAATACAGCCCCCTCTCCAGTGTGGAGAGTGAAAACAAAACTGCATTCACCCTATGGTACAGTAATAGGGGAGGAGAAATTTAGGCCATTGCATTAATGGCAAACCCTTACAAAAATGCTGTGGAATAGTTTATGATCACATGGAATAGACAGGATAATCTTTTAAAAAAACAAACAAAAACAAAACAAAACAACAACAAAAATATGCTATTAGGAAGTCCAGGAACTGTGAGGCTGTATTTTCAGCCAAACCCAACCATCTTGACTATATTTTTTTCCCAAGCGTTGTAAGTAAACTTTAGTTTTATACACACATTACTATGGGAACTGAAAAATGTTGCAAACACTTCAGTTTGTTTGATTTCCAGTGCTTTTACAATTCTCTCCTGGCCTTGTCCTGGCAGCTTCACCCTCACCCAGCAAATGCAGCAGTAACTCATAATTCAGATGCACCTTCCTAAGTAGCATTTGTGATGTAAACACTCATGCCCTTGTAACTGGATTGAGATGACTAGTTACACACAACATGGGTTATTTTAAAACAGCCACTGATCACTGACCTGGGTTTGAACCAATGACTCAAGAGTTACTGGTTTCTGAAACACATATCAAGCCCCAATATAAACATATTTTACCAGTCTACCCATCACGACTTATCTCTTCTTCCCCTGCTATTCTTGCCTTGAAGGTCACCCTCTAAGGGGGTGGGCACCCACCTCTCTTGAGCACCCCCTGTGGTTGGGTGTGTCCATGGTCTTTAAACCAGTCTATCCCCGGTATGGGGCCATGTCCCCACAGCTTCCTCCCTGGAGACACTATCTTCCTGCAGCCCTCCCCAGGCTCAGTCTCTACTTAGTCCCTGCAGCCAGCCAGGAGCTACTTAATTACTCCCCCAGTCCCTGCTAGCAAACTGTCTTTGGCTCAGTCCTAGCAGCCAGCCAGGAGCCTCTTGCTCCCCCAGTCCCTGCCCCCACTTAGCTGTCAGTTATGCTGCAGTTCCCTCAGCGAGACATGCAGTCCTTTCTTCTCTAGCTGCAAGCAGCAACTAACTGTGGCTCTGTCCTCTGTTGTGCAGCTTTGCCTGCAACCACTCTAGCCTGCTTGGGGGACCTCACCACTGCTCCTTACCTGGGAGGAGTGTGACAGGACTCTGAGGCCTTCAGCAGGGAGCCTCTGGGCCTAGTCCATCCCCTCACACCCTCCATTCCCAATCCCCTTGTCAAAAATAGACTATAGGGTGAACATTAATGGCTCTTAGGAAACAGAGCTATTAGGGAAATCTTGCCCAAGATGAAGTGCCATAACAGGGGAATTGAGCTTTGAGGAAAAGGGATGGATTAGCATTGACCTAGTAGATAATTTAACATTGCGAATGAAGCACAAAAGGTCAGTGACATTTAAGAGACCATTAAAATTTTAGTGAAAAAAGACAGTGCTCTAAGTAGTAATATTTAAATGGCAGGTGGTTCTGGAACAGTGCTTTAGTTTAATTCTGTCCTTAAAACAGGGCTATAATTCAACATGCTCATGTGTACTTTTGTTAAGGAAAAGAGAGCAGGGTAATTATGCCCTATTTTCAAGGATATTCTGAAATGACAACATACTGGAGCATAACTTATACTCTTATAGGCATTTTCAAGTAATACAGCATCTTGTAAACATTATTTTGGCTCTTTGCTTCTGTAGCACTATATTACAGCATGGAAACACATGACAATTTATTTTCTACTTTAGGGTTTGTCTTGGCCTGTACAAACCACTAAAATACCACTATCTTTGGTATAATTATTTTTAAACAGCAGAGCAATTCATCCTCATTAGGGAACAATCAATAACAAATCTGTTTTTAAATTATAAAAATGACAAAGCTTGAAACTACCATATTTTAAAAATGTTGTAGTTCAGAAATGAACTACTTTCAAAGTCTTTCTCCAGGCAAAAGTATTTATGCCAAGTTTCAGTCCAGCCTTATTTATTGAAAAAAGAATGACTCTCTGAAAGTAGGGTTACCATCTTTCACATGGACAAAGACCAAAAAACTATGCCTATGATCCTGTCCACCAAACTACACACCATCTCTTCTAATGGAATTGTAATGTGTACATTGCATTTTGAATTCACTGTAGTAGCAGCTCTAATTAAGCGCATAAGAACAGCTATACTGGCTCAGACCAGTGGTCCCTCTAGCTCAGTATCCTATCTGCTGACTGTACTTAGAGCCAGATCCTTCAGAGGGAATAAACAGAACAGGGCAATTATTGAGTGATCCATCCTGTCCTCCAATCCCAGTTTCTGGCAGTCTGAAGTTTAGGGACACCCAGAGCATGGGGTTGTCTCCCTGATCATTTTTGCTAACATCTTCTGTGAACTTAGCTAACTCATTTGTGAGCACAGTTACACTTCTGGCCTTCACAATGTCACACGGTGTACAGTCAACCTGTGCCAGGGGAAGTAGTACTTCCTGAAGTGGGTTTTAAGCCTGCTGCCTCTTAATTTAATTGGGTGACCCTGGTTCTTGTGTTATATAAAGGGGTTAATAAAACTTTCCTATTCACTTTCTCCACACCATTTGTGATTTTATAGACTTATATCACATCTCCTCTGTCATCTCTTTTCTAAACTGAACAGTCCCAAGTCCCAGTCTTTTAAATTTCTCCTCATATGAAAGCTGTTCCATACCTCTAATCATTTTTGTCACCCTTCTTCGCACCTTTTCCAATGCTTATATATCTTGTTTGAGATGGGGCAACCAGAACTATATACTGGATTTATATAGGAACATTATATTTTCTGTCTTATTATTTATCCCTTTCTTAACTGTTCCGAACATTAGCTTTTTTGACTGCTACTGCATATTGAGCAGATGTTCTTGGAGAAGTATCCACAATGACTTCAATCTTGAAGTCTTTCTACCACTCTTTCTTGAGTGGTAACAGCTAATTTAGACCCCATCATTTTGTATGTGTAGCTGGGATTATGTTTCCAACATGCATTACTTTGCACTTACCAACTTTGAAGTTCATCTGCTGTTTTGTTGCCTACTGACCCATTTTTGAAAGATCCATTTGTAAGTCTTTGTAGTCAGCTTTAGATATAGCTATCTTGAGTAATTTTCTATCATCTGGAAATTTTGCTGTTCAACATATTCATAAATGATCTGGAAAAGGGGGTGAACAGCACAGGTCTCAGTACAGCTCCTTCAGGGACGCTGGTATTTACCAATTTCCTTGGTGAAAACTGACCATTTATTTCTACCGTTTAACCACTTACTGATCCGTGAGAGTACCTTCTCTCTTATCCCATGACTCCTTACTTTACTTAAGAGACTGTGGTGAGAGACCTTGTTAAAGCTTCCTGAAAATTCAAGTACATTGTATCAACTAGATTACTCTTGTCCACATGCTTGTTGACACCCTCAAATAATTCTAATAGATTGGTGAGGCATGACTTCCCTTTACAAAAACAGTGTACTCTTCCAACATATCGTGTTCATCTGTGTCTAATAATTCTGTTCTTTACTATAGTTTTTCAACCAATTTGTCTGGTACTGAAGTCAGGCTTACCGGCATGCAATTGCCAGGATTGCCCCTCGAACCTTTAAAAAAAAAAACTGGCATTACATTAGCTATCCTCCGGTTAAACTACTTAGTACAGGAAATACCTACTGGACTCTACCATCATAAATCCTTAACAGGAAGATAAGCTTGTCTGTTTGGAGAATTATGTATTATAAGTAGTAAATCTCATGGTCTTTCTGTCCATTTTAAAAGAACCCTTCACAAATAGACTATCTACAAATCTACCACAGGTACTATGAAGGAACTCTTCTCTGATTGGTAGAGCTAAGAAGTTAGAAGGGGAAGAATAGCCTTCTTGCTGCTGATTGCTAAGAAGGGACCCATTGCTCTTCTCCAGACTGTTTCCCAGCAGTTCCCATATCAGAGCAAGTGGGTAGCCATTCAGTGGTGGTCCAGTGGGGGGATAGTAGTGAGCCAAATCCTGAGATCCTCACTCAGGCAAAATATTAGTCAACTTGAGTAGGATTTTTGGCTGAGTAAAAAATTGATTAAGGGCCTCAGGATCTGGGCCAGTGACATTATGTCCGTACTATGCAGTAGTTTGATTTTAAATGAAAGTCTTAATTTAAGGAAAGGACTCACATCCTATAAACAGATCTACATCTGCCAACCCTTGCTCTGTAATGGAGGAGTCTAATTACAATGGGATTCCACATGGGAGCAAGGCTCTGCATGTATGGATTTGTTTGCAGGACTTCAATTCAGTTGAAGCCTCTGCCCTTACCAGCAATAGTTGAACCACCTGTTGTTGCTACACAAGTCACAAAATGATTGGACATATTTAATATCTGTAGGTGCTTAAGTAATGGCATGAAAACAGCTCAGTTCATTTTATTTCCAGTTGAAAGTGCTATGGATTTTACTGTGAAAATAAAGAAAGGACATAACCTGGGAAAATGAGAGCTGGTACATACGAGAACCAAGAAGAACTGAATTAAAGTAGGTTGAAAAAAGTGGCTTATATAGAAAAGTATTTTCATTTTGCAGATTGTCTACACAGCAGTGTTCATACATGGTCATAGCTATACAGAAAAATCTCTCTCCCTTGGAGTTTACAGTCTAAATTAGACAAAACAGCAAGTGATCAGATTAGTAGCAATTGGAGGGAAGGTGGTTACAAAACAAATAATGGACCAAATTCTGCCCTCATTCACATCCAGGTAACTGTATTGCCTTTAGAGTGAGGTTCCCTACATGTAAGAGGGGGCAGAATTTAACCCTGTAACTGGTTCTGTTGTGAATGCAATTTGTTCATTTTACTTTTTAAAGAGAGTAGGTTAAGGAACAGCCGCAAATGGCACTGGAGAAGTGAACAATAGAATGCTAACTGAAAAATGAATTGATAGACCGAACCCAAAAAACTGCTATAGGTATTGCATAAACAGCCTTTTATCTGTATTTGTATCAAATTAATGATTTATTACCCAACACCACAGGTGGCAGTGTATACAAAGACAGTGCAACATGTGATTATTTACAGGAATTTTCAGCCTGACATGCACATATACTATCATGAGATGTTTTAATATTTCCAAAACATGTTATCAAGCTGAATAAATATTCCCTGCCCCAAAAGTTCATTTGTGTTTTACATAAAAATATAATATTGCACTTTTTACAAGAACAGCTATTTTGCATATCTGAGATTTATAACAAATGGAATGCTGCTTTTTAAAAAATAAGACTCCATGAGCAACATCCCATATTTAAATTGGGGAGCAAGTAAAAGCCTCCAAAACAAAAAAGTTTTAAATGAAGCATATCACTTCAACATGAACCAAAAAGCTTCTCCGTTTGTATTTGGAGTATGAAAAACATGATTAAAGCCAGCTTGTAAAATGTACCTGCAATATATGCATTTAAAAAAGTTAAATTCATACAGTATGCAGACATTTGCTTATTCTTCACTGGTCCAAAAGATCTATTTTTGGAATATGAACTGTGGGAAGATCCTTGTACTTAATCTATCAAGTTTTTTGAAAATCTAGACGTTAAAAGATGTACACTTGGAATTTTCACAACAAATGCACAGATTGTGTATATATTATGATTTGCAGGTATCTATACATATTTTGTCTTTATCACCAGGTGACAAATTATAGATCTTAAGTACAGTGTTTTGTAGGAGGATAAATACATGCAATGAGTAAAAATATAGCCATTAAAATCTATATGGTAGAAGTGGAATGTGTAAGTGACTTAAAGGAAAAAATAAGTTTTAACTATTTAATGGGTTTCTGTGGCATTCTTGGGTTGTAACTTTTTTCCCCTAGTGGAGGAATATGTAATTATGCTCAGCTGATATTGGCTTTCCGAATATTTAAGTTACTGAGCGTGTCAGTCCTGTGTGGAGGATGCCATAAAAATTCACCTTCAAATTCAATTGAGAGGTTATGAAGTATTAACCCCTGACCTGAATGCATGTTCCTTTTTCAAAGATTAGCACTTAGGAATAAGTATCATATTTGCACTTTGTGTGTGTAAACTTTTCTGAATGATCTGACATATATGATGAACACTGATTAGTCAAGCAGTTATGGTCTTATTCAAACATTTTACATGTATTTAACTCTCACATGGCACTAAATGGGAGCAGATGATATCTGCGCTGTTTTCTTTGTATTTTTGAACTCTGAAATGTATGCTAAATATATTCTGCCACTTAGATTCATAATAACTAACTAGTGTTATGCATTTGTGCAATTTACAATTAGATGAAAAACCTTGTTTAACTATTGCTTCATGATGCCATGAGGTGTCTGGTTGTTATTAAAACACAGACACATTGGTTTCTGTCTGTTACAGGAATATTGTCCTATTAGAGCTGAGAAGACAATTAGCAAAAAAACTATGGAATATCAGGGAATAACGGAAGTTCAATTTTTAGCATTATGACACACCATAAAATGGTTGGTGCACAAAGCACCTACTGAGTTATTTGCTTCTCCAAAAAGCAGTTTTGAATCCTCCATGTTTAAATTTTTGGGGTACTAATGCTAGAGCCAATTGGACTGTACTGACTGATCAGATACACACATTGACAATCTTCTTATAAATATTTAAGAAATTTTAATGCTATTGGTACTTTACAACACAAAGAATAAAAGGGAAAAAGTCACCACTAGTGATTCAAGATTTGGAATACTTGTGTTCAAGAAATTTAAAAAAATACTATTACATTTTACACTGCAGCATTTCAGCTTGTTGGTTAGAGCATTTGTGCGCCACATTCCTTGTATCAGAGTATATAAAACCAGAACTTCCTTGTAACCTTGATATGGTTTAAAATTTGGGGCATGCATATACACATTTTACAATAGCTTCAGATTGATGTATGCTTTCATCAACTCACTTGTTTTAAAGAAGTTCAATACATTTCAAAATCCAATTAAACAACAGAGGTTCTATGATCTACTCTGGATTTAAAGTGCTTCAGAGATACGGTGATTTAGCAGCATGAAGAGTCATCAGCCAGCTGCATAGCTGCTAAGGAATGAGTAGAACATGGGTAGTTTCAAGCGCTGCTGGTCCTTGCGACACCAAGCTATAACAGTTCCTTCACTATTTGCTGTGTACAAGTGATGACCATCACAGGAAAATGTAAGGCTGAAAACAACAAAAATCTAATTTTTAATATCATATTTAGCAAATTATACTATTTAACTGAAAATACTAGAGGAGATACTTTAAAAAAAGACAAGTACAACATAACTGCAACCAACACAAAAATCAGTAGCTTGCCTTCAGTGAGGCAAGTTCCTATGAATGCATAATTCTAGTGCTGTGCGCGCGCGCATATGTGGGCGTGGGCAATACCTGCCTGTTCAAACTGCAATTCAAGGTGTCAGTTACAAACTTTACTGACATAAATTTAACTTAATGCCCAGTCTATGTGTTTTTCTCTTTGTCACTTCAAGTACAATCTGCTGTGCTGTTCCTGCTGTCATTTCCTGGGTGGAACTATCTCTGTCTGGCAGAGGGTGTTCACAGTGCAGGGTCCATCCCCTGAAAGCTGCTCTCAGATGGATGGCCAGAACCAGAATCTGGCAAATTTCATGGGATACGTTTTTTGTTTTGTTTTAAGGCAGGCATTTCTTGATTTTACCACCATAGTAAGTAAATCCACCAGTTCTTTCTACCCCGATAGAATGCTGTCCTCGGGAGCCAAAAAAAAAATCTTACTGTGTTATAGGTGAAACCGCGTTATATCGAACTTGCTTTGATCTGCCGGAGTGCACAGCCCCGCCCTCCCCGGAGCGCTGCTTTTCCGCATTATATCCGAATTCATGTTATATCAGGTCGCGTTATATCGGGGTAGAGGCGTAATTGTTTTATTTCAAGAGACTTAAAAAACCATAAACTTGTACGAAAGTTCGTGTTTCTAATTACTGTGAGGTGCTGCTGAGGTGATGGTTGGTACACATTAAATTAAGAATGACTAAATTAACTTGATGCTGAGATCACAAGTTAAACCTGAAACCCCATTACAAATGTGAAGAGAATTATGTATCTATGCAAAGCTGTCAGATGGGAGTTCACCTCCAGCCATTCACACACACATTCAGAATCCCTAATTACACATTTGTACTGCAGAACCCAAGTGTTTAGTTTGCTGTACTTACTGCAATTTAAATAACTCAATGTGGGTAGCAATGCCTCTCGTGCTCTATTAGTATTCTAACACAACTAATGTCAAAATAATCATTTTCCTCTCTATTTAAAAAGTAATTCTCTGGATTAACCAAAAACAGTTTCTAAATAAATGGATACCGTATCCCAATTTAAAAAAAGAATTTCTGCTGCTTAGAAGAGCAAGTCAGTGTTTCAGAAACCACTATTACCAGGGTGTGGTAACAGTGGTAAGTGTTGGCTTTAACAGTGATCACTATAAAATGTTTTAAAATGTTGCTTCAGTAATAGGCACAAATATAAATTCTTGTAATAAAATTTGTTACTGTGTTACTATTGAATAATTATGAAATTTAGGGCATGATCCTGTAAGTCCTTCATGCAAGGAAATTCCCATTGAGAGCATGCTTTAGTGGGAGTTTGGGCCCCAATTCTGCAAACACTTTAGCATGAGCATAGCTCTTACATAAGTGATCAGTGAGCCTCTTCATGTGTGCAAAATTACACGGGTGCTTAACTGTTTGCAGGATCTGGGCTTTTTTGTGCCAGCCAGGGGGAAGGGTGAGGCGGAAACACACAGCAACAAAATAAAGCCACACAAGTTATTTACTACTGAAGCTCATACTATAACCATTTAAAAATCTGCTTAATTGAAAAGTAAAAAGATAACTTGTCAAATTAGGAGTTAATATGAAAATCCTGGGGGAAAATATGAACTTTGTTTTAAAAGACAAATGAGCAAGTATTGTTCAGTCCACAGGGGAATCCTTCAAGTTTCGGTCTGTGTTTATCTCATCATGCTTGCAGCTGAGAATAGTTATTACTGTCATGTTGCAATGTATTTGTGCTCATTTTACTTTCATGGGGAACTAGTAGGATTGTGTGCCTGTTTTTAGATAGTTTTGTTCATCCACTTCCCCCATTTGTCAGTGTCTTAAATAAGTCAAGATTTATTTTTAAAGGGAACTTGAATCCTTTTTATGCAGCAAAATTTTTTTTACCTTACAATAGGTTTATTTGATTTAGGAAATGTAATTTCCCGCACAGGTTTCAAGTCCCAAGTACTCCACAGCCTGAAAGAAAGAAAAAAGTAATTATTTTCTCCATATTCTACTTAACCTAAATATTTAGGGATAAACATAAGTTTAATTTTAGAAACTGCGAACAGTTGAACAGCTAGTTCAATTTTTTGTAAAAGCAGAACATTAGCATGATTTTAAAACTGCATACAGTCTCAAAACAAAAACAAACATTGATTTTATAAGTGTCTGTCAGCAAAATACTTCAAGAACTTAAGGAGGAGAGTGTATGCTCTTACCTTACAACCCCATTTTCTAACCCCCCTGCAATAACATTGATGGACACTCCTTCCGGCTGGTTAGAGAAAGCAACAGAGCATATGATTTCCCTGCAGTGAACATGTCCTACAAGATCACCATTTACCGTCCAAAGTCTCAGATCACTGCCCCCTCCAACTGTAATACAAAGTAAACCACGAACGTTACAAGATAATCTAGACTATTTGAATAGCCTATGTCATTTAGCTTTCAAGACCACATCAGCAACAGATCAGTTTAGTAAAGATTAAAACTGATTCAGATCAGAAAGCTGTACAAATACTGTACCATAGTTATTTTCTCTTTTTACCATATTTACCATATTTTGTATAGGCAAACCCCCACAAAATTAATAGGATTTATAATATAAGCCCTAGCACTTTAGCAGTAAGGAAGCTATAAAACATTCTACTCACCAATATAACTTTTTGAAAATGCTAGTTTTCATGTTAGCAGGTCCGAGTAAACACTGTAATCTCTCTCTCTCTCTCAAGGTTTACCTCGATCTGCTAATGTGTTCACACTACAACTGCCTTGTCTTTACTAGGATTTTACCTCTTGTTAATTGCCCTATGTTAGCTAACACAAGGTAAGAACACACCATTTTTTCCTAGTGAAGACAAGGCCTGAGAGTGGTAGAGATAAAGGAGACGAATATCTCAGGCTATGTCTTCACTGCACACCTTACAACAGTGCAGCTGTGACACTACAGACGCACCATTGTAAGGCATGCAGCGTAGCCGCTTTTTATCACGAGGAGAGAGCTCTCCCATAGACAAAATAAAAACACCCCCAACGAAGGGTGGTAGCTTCATCGACGAGAGAGCAGCTCCCGCCAACAAAGTGCTGTCCACAGCGGTGCTTTTTGTTGTTAAAACTTTTGTCATTTGGGGTGTTTTTTTCATACCCCTGAACGACAAAAGTATTAACAACTAAAGTGCAGTGTAGACAAAGCCTCAGATTCAGTCTCGGACCTGCCCCTGGAATGTTAAGACCATGTATTGTGTTTCTGTAATTGCCAGAGGTCCTAACCTTCAATCATCCTTTAATATAATAACCTACTTGTGCTACCTTGCAAGATTTTTATTTACAGCCCTGATTTTGAAGGGCTAGAATGGTATTTGATCCACCTCACTCTACATGGGAATACAGGAAGGAAGGAAGAATGAAAGCAGCTTCCTGAAGAGATATTAGAAGCCTCTCCTTCACAGTACGAGTTTGGCATTGAGAACCAAGACATTATGCATAGAGGACTGGACCCAAACATTAGAAATAAAGTGAATGTTGGGACAAAAAACTGCTTGTTAATATAACTCTTTGTTAATATAACTCTTTGTTAATATAACTCTTTCTTGCATCCGAAGAAGTGGGTTGTAGCCCACGAAAGCTTATGCTCTAATAAATTTGTTAGTCTCTAAGGTGCCACAAGTACTCCTGTTCTTTTTGCGGATACAGACTAACACGGCTGCTACTCTGAAACCTTTGTTAATATAGCATATGTGGTGCCTCAATATAGTGCATATATCAAGGGACATCTGAATACTCCAACAAGACACTAGTTTTAGCAAATGTAATTTTGCTTTGTATAAGTAAAACTCCTTAGGAGGATACAGTATCTTGGAAAACAAATCACTGCTATCATGAAAGTAATTAACTTAATAGAATTTGAATCTCTCAGGACTCAAACTTTAAAATCTTTAAAAAAAAAATCAAATTACACATGCAGTCCTGTCAATCACTTACACCTGCATATTTGTAACTACACAAAACATATACACATCATACTGTATATAGAAATAAGAAGTTATTGAGTTGATCAGTTGGCTGCTCAAATGATTCAAGTCACATGACAAACTATTGCACTGGGAAAGTTGGTTCATCTTTAAATCTAGTCTATGAATGTGGATAGGTTATTCATTCATGATACCATACATACCTGAATCACAAACTGTTGCAATATCACCTGTCATTTCACTAGCAGAGACTGCTGTCACAGGACTCTTGTGTCCAGCAAGACTTTGGACATAGCACAGCCTACAAAGAATAAAAGATCTCTAAATAACCTGCAGTTTAGCTTCAGGAAACTGAGTTTTGGTTTCACACAAGATTAAAATACTTGGAAAGTAATAATCTGAAATGATTATTTTACACGAAGATTTTAAAAACATGGTTAGAAAGTAAGCATTTTTAGGCTAACCTAGGAAATTATATTTGTACCTGTTCAAATCCCAGATGATACAGGTTCCATCCTTGCTTACACTTATCATTATACTATATGGTTTGCAGACAAATAAGCTGGTTATTTCTGCTGTGTGACCATACAGATGTACTTGAGATTCCATTTCTATCTCGGAATGCTGAAAAATAACAATATTAAAATGAGACCTGAATTATTAAACACATCCACTTATTATTTATTGTTTTGGAAGTGTGGCTTCCATTGTTTTCAATTGGATCAATACGTATAGATCTTAGGGAGTGAACTGGCACTCCATGATTAAATGCTTCATATCTTTAGTTCAGATGCTTTTTGTAGGACTTTTAAAGAAGCAAACACATTGCTGACATGAGTATTTGGAGTAAGACATTAACTGTGAAAGGCACTATATTCTCCCACTTCTCACACACACAAGCTTTGAAAAGAAGTTGTGTGGCTGGCTGTTTTCCAAACACACGTTATGTCAGTAGCTCAAATAGAGATGGCAGCTAGATCTCCATATTTCAGTTTGACTGGCTGGAGAGGAAATATTGGGGGGTGAGGGACAGTCAATGGCAATGACCAGCACTTTTAAAAAAAAGTTAGCAAAACCTCCAAGTTAATGGGAACATATTGAGCCAGTGCCAAGTCCTTAGATGGGGCTTAACTAGGTATTAAATAGGTGTGAAATTTGAAGCTTTGCTCTAATACAGAAACTGTCAAAAATTAAATGCCAAAGAGAAGATGAAACTGCTAAGCATAAGTGCTACTTCTTGTGTTTTATTTCATTGCAATTCCTCAGACTTTTTTTTTTTTTTTTAAAACACCCTCTAAATTACAAGAGTTGCTTAATCAGAATGATAATTGCCCAATTAAGAGAAGTCCACTGTACAAGGAGATTGGAATAATGTTTATACAAGAAAGGTAAACGTCTCTCTGCTACAATGAATTTTCCCATAGCTCTTCTTTACTACTTCAGAGCACAGTAATAAACAATCTAGGAATTTGGAAGAGGAAATAGGGCATACAATAGCTCTACTAAAAGATGAAAAGAGTCATCAGAGAACAGAAAAGGAGAAAGAACTGGTAATAGATTTTACTCACAAAATGCTAGTTATATATTCTCTAGCATGATCTGAGCAACAAATAGCACCATCCATCTCTGTGCTAGTTATATTGATTACTAGTCAGGACAAGATTGACCTTTAATAATCATAAAACATTTAGAGAGGTTTCATTTAAGCAATCACAAGAAAACGATAAACATATCCTCCTACTGTGTACTATAATACTTGCTGATAAGAATATCCAGTCTCTACATCCCTTCAGAGTAATGTATCTACTATTCATAGAAGTATGGTCTGCCATTATTTTAGAATTTTAAGAACAGAACTAGAACAAGGTTTTTAATGGGAAAAGTGTCAAGCCAAGATTAATTTTTCTGCTAAACTATTTTGTTGCCTCATCTTTCCACTTCCCCCATCTAATTTGTCTGTTTTGGCCACCTTTTGCTGACACCTACATCTCTGGGACAGGGATTCTGTTATTTGTCTCTACGGTCCCTAGCTCAATGGGGCCTGATCCTGGATTGGAGTTTCTAGGAACTATCATAATACAAAGTAAAAATGATAGTAATGGGAAAGGATGGAACTCTAGGACCAGATAATCTAATTTATTTGTGCTAATAAGTCATGCAACTATGACTTTCCATGCCATCCTCTATGCCTGAAACATGCTTGTAAGTACTGTGTGCCATGGAAGCTCTCGCCTCCTCCTTCAAATCTCTTAAGACTCATTTCTTCCATCTATCCTTCCAATGCTGATGTCCACTTCACTACACTAATATAAACACTCCACTCACAATAAAATATTTTTAAAGTGGCATAGATATAAAAATAAATTCATTTAAAGTTGGTCATATATTTAAAATGCCCTCTTTCTGTGTTAGACTGGATGGCTATGGTTAAGGCACTGGAGTAAGGGATTATACAATAATTACCACACAGTTTCATCTATTCTCTCAAAAGGATATACAATAGGTTAAAATGCTTCCCTCTCTGTTAGCAAGAAAGCCCCAGATAGATTAGGAACAACTAAAGGGTGGAGCAACCCACTTGCCCAACATCCAGAACCTCTTGGCTGAGGCCTTTTAAGGGTAGTGATTTGAGTGACTTCTCATAACAGTACTTCAGTGGGTTTTGGATGACAGACATTGACAATGCCTGGGAGAAGTAGCAGACAAGAGCAGTTTGTCTGGACTTTTTCCAACACAGATATGGGTCACTAGAACTCTGAAAGCAGGGCTCTCTAGACTCTTATGTCTATCCATTAGCAACATCATACCTGTCTCCTTGCTTTAATGATTTACACATGAAGATTTGCCCTGACTGACACTTCCTGTACTGCATTTATAATAGGCTGTTCCACTACATCAGCACTCAGCTGGGGGGCTGACTACAGAACAGATGCTAGTAAACATGCTGGCATTCCCTATAGTCCTGTCTCAAGCAACTAACTAAACAACAGATGCTACACAATTGGCAGCAAGGTCATGTTGCCTGAGGTATACAGAAGTGTCAGTGCTGAGGGATTCAGCAAACATGATCTCACAAGAGGACACCTGAGGAGCAAAGCAAAGAACTCCTATTCACAGTTCTAAAGTGCCTTACCGCTGTCAAATACAAATTGCTAGTTTCTTTATTAGCATTTTTAAAACACAAGTATTCTGTACAAAAAGTTTATTTCCTATTTTAGTTACCAAAAATGTAACTGATATTGCTTGGGGCTTTAAAAATTAATTGCTCACAGTGGGTGGGCTTTCCTAGTGTGTGTGGGGCTTGAGCCATGAATTTCTGCAAAGTTTTAACCTTGATGCAATGGAATCCTTCTCAATCTGCAGAGAGCACTTAGGCCTCTGTTGCTGCTCCTAGATTGCTCAAGCAAAAGCAACATAAAACAATACTGTGGCCAGTTTAAGTGCTGCTATTCAGAACCCTGTGGCCTAAGATGGACTGTCAAGAATTGTGTCAGTGATTTGCTACTTCTTGGGAAAAAGTTATGAACTACTGAAGAGGCTGATGCTGGAGTTATTCACAGAAAAGACAACTTAAAACAGAAGGCAAAATCCTGGCTCCATCACAGTTCTATTCTATTTTATACCCTAGTATCTGAGCATCTTCCATCAATGCATGAAGCGATATGACTAACATCTGTCACACGTTAGTCAGTCTCATCACTGGGGAAAAGGTGTGCAGGGGAGTGTTTTGGTAAGGATTCTTTTTTAAATTATTTAATACATGATGTTATGTGTCTACCTTCGAGAAGGCAAGGTCAGAGAAGCATGCCTTGCACTTAGAGCAGAATGTGCTAAGGTTTGCAAGAGTCCTTAGTTCCTGTGAGAGTTTGTGCCAGTCTCTTACTGGCCTCCAAGAAGTTTGTCTTCCGCACAAATGGGCTTTAACCTTATTATAGAAAGCTCCATTGTACCACAAGACTGAAGCTGTTGATCGTGGTCTTCATTCTAGAGCTTTAGGTGATATTTTTGATACTCTGGGCCCAGGCCACTGAGTGCCTTGAAACTAAGGATCAAGACCTTGAACCTGACTTGATGTTCTGCGGTAAGACAGTGTAGAGAACGGAGGACAGATTTAATCGGTTTGTGGTAGCTAGTGTATTGAGGTGTGCTGCTGGGTTCTGTACTAGTTGGAGTTTCCAAAGCACTGAAGGCTTCATGCCCACATATACCACAATTAGGTACCGCAGCCAAAAGATGACGAAGATGTGAATAACTGAATCCAGGTCACTGTTCATCAGGATGGGGGAGCATCTCCTAACCAACTGGAGATGACAGAAAGCATTACTTATGGATAGAGCTGGACAGAGTTTTTGGGAAATAGTTTATTTGCTGAAAAATGCAGTTACAGTCAACGCAAAAACTACTTACAAATTTTTGTCCTATTCACCAAACAGTTTAGAACAAACAGCTTAGTGGTCAGGGCACTCACATATGATATGGGACATCCAAGTCTCTGCTCCAGGGGCTATAATTATTTGTAAGAAGCTTCAATAGGAAAGATTCAGAAAGTCCCATACCTGAATTGACATAGTCCAGTGGTTAGGGCACTAACTTGAGGGGTGGGAACTCGTGTTCAAATCCTCTCCATGTCAGGGAGAAGAAGAATTGAACCAGGGGTTCCTCATGTCCCAGGTGAGTCCCCTAACTACTGGCCTAAAGAGGCAGCTTCCTCCTCCACCCATCCCATTCCTAGGTGTTATGTCAAAAGTGCCCCAAATTGAAACAAAACTATTTCATCCCAGCTGTTCGATTCTCTGATCAGACACCAAAAAATCTGTTTCCAGGTCAACCCAAAAAGTGTTTTGTTTTTGCAGTTTTTTGGAATTGCCAGCAAAATGAAAAATCTATTTATCTATGATAAGGCCATTGCGGAGAAACTAAATTAATTCTTTGCATCGGTCTTCTCTGTTGAGGATGTGAGGGAGATTCCAAAACCTGAGCCATTCTTTTTGGGTGACAGATCTGAGGAACTGTCCCAAATTGAGGTGTCATTAGAGGTGGTTTTGGAACAAATTGATAAACTAAATAGTAATAAGTCTCCAGGACCTGATAGTATTCACCCAAGAGTTCTGAAGGAACTCAAATGTGAAATTGCAGGACAACAACTGTCATCTGTAACCTATCATTTAAATCAGCTTCTGTACCAAATGACTGGAGGATAGCTAATGTGATGCCAATTTTTAAAAAGGGCTCCAGAGGTGACCCTGGCAACTACAGGCCAGTAAGCCTCACTTCAGTACCAGGCAAATTGGTTGAAACTATTGTAAAAGAACAAAAAATTGTCAGACACAGATGAACATAATTTGTTGGGAAATAGTCAACATGGTTTTTGTAAAGGGAAATCATGCCTCACCAATCTACTAGAATTCTTTGAGGGGGTCAACAAGCATGTGGACAAAGATCCAGTGGATATAGTGTATTTAGATTTTCAGAAAGCCTTTGACAAGGTCCCTCACCAAAGGCTCTTCTGCAAAATAAGCAGTCATGGGATAAGAGGGAAGGTTCTCTCATGGATTGGTAACTGGTTAAAAGATAGGAAACAAAGGGTAAGAATAAATGGTCAGTTTTCAGAATGGAGAGAGGTAAATAGTGGTGTCCCCCAGGGATCTGTATTGGGCCCAGTCCTATTTAACATGTTCATAAACGATCTGGAAAAAGGGGTAAACAGTGAGGTGGCAAAATTTGCAGATGATACAAAACTACTCAAGATAGTTAAGTCCCAGGCAGACTGCGAAGAGCTACAAAAGGATCTCACAAAACTGGGTGACTGGGCAACAAAATGGCAGATGAAATTTAATGTTGATAAATGCAAAGTAATGCACATTGGAAAACATAATCCTAACTATACATATATAATGATGGGGTCTAAATTAGCTGTTACCACTCAAGAAAGAGATATTGGAGTTATTGTGGATAGTTCTCTGAAATCATCCACTCAATGTGCAGTGGCAGTCAAAAAAGCGAACAGAATGTTGGGAATCATCAAGAAAGGGATTGATAGTAAGACAGAAAATATCATATTACCTCTATATAAATCCATGGTACGCCCACACCTTGAATACTGCATGCAGATGTGGTCGCCCAATCTCAAAAAAGATATATTGGAATTGGAAAAGGTTCAGAAAAAGGCAACAAAAATTATTAGGGGTATAGAACAGGTTCCGTATGAGGAGAGATTAATAAAACTGGGACTTTTCAGCTTGGAAAAGGGGCGACTAAGAGGAGATATGATAGAAGTCTATAAAATCATGAGTGGTGTAGAGAAAGTAAGGAAGTGTTATTTACTCCTTCTCATAATACAAGAACAAGGGGCCACCAAATGAAATTAATAGGTAGCAGGTTTAAAAGAAACACAAGAAAGCATTTTTTCCACGCAACGCACTGTCAACCTCTGGAACTCCTTGCCAGAGGGTGTTGTAAAGGCCAATACTATAACGGGGTTCAAAAGGGAGCTAGATAGATTCATGGAAGATAGGTCCATCAATGGCTATTAGCCAGGACAGGCAGGAATGGTGTCCCTAGCCTCTGTTTACCAGAATCTGGGATTGGGTGACAGGGCATGGATCACTTGATAACCTGTCTGTTCATTCCTTTGGGGCACCTGCCATTGGCCACTGTCAGAGGACAGGATACTGGGCTTGATGGACCTTTGGTCTGACCCCATATGGCCGTTCTTATGTTCTTATATTATTTGCCCAGCTCTACTGACAGATGGTGTGTATGCAACAGTTTAGTGTCAGCAAGGAATTCAAGTGTTCTCCTAAACTACAGATTGAATTGATCAGTTGTGGGTGTGCACCTTCAACTGAAGGAGCTTGCACTGTGGTTGCAAACTTTTCAAAGTACTTTCCTCTGCTCACCGGCATCATTTCTGTATTGCGTGGGTTCCACTTCAGCCAGCTTGTTCTTCACCCTTGAGCTGATCCCATCCAAGCACTGCACCATCTTGGTGGCTGTGATACGGTTATATGTGGTGAAGAATAGTCTGAACTTTGTGTCATCTGCATATTGCTGATATTTGAGTTCATGTTATCTGACTAATTTGCCTGGTGGATGAATGTAGATGTTCAACAGGCACTGGGACACAATTGATTCCTGTTGGACTTCACAAGGGAGGGGACTGGTGGCAGAGGTGCTATTTTCCCATCCTTACTCATTGGGTTGTCTCTCAAGGAAGGACTCAAGTCACTTCAGTGCATCATCGTGGACCCCGTCACATCACAGGCAAGACAAGTTTAGGTAGTGCATGGCTGACAGTGTCAAATGCTACAGAAACGTCCAGTGGAATGAGAATGGATGTCTTCCCTTTAGCCATCAATGCCATTAAAGCTGTTTCAGTTCCATGACCTGGCCTGTATCCAGATTATGCCATGTCTAGAGTATTAACTTCAGTACAGACGCCCCTGGGTTACGCAAGACCCGACTTACGCAAATTTGCACTTACAGAAAAAGTTCCATCAGCCAGAAATAGGATTTTCGAGTTGCGGAAATTTTTGCGTAATGTATGGGTACACGTTTCTGACTTACGCAAAATTCGAGTTACGCAAGGCTTTCCGGAACGGAACAATTGCGTAAGTCGGGGGGCATCTGTAAGGTGAGCTTGTAGTTGGAATTTGGCTAGCTTCTCTAAGCTTGCTCAGGAACAGGAAGTTGGACAAGACTCCCATTGACTTCAAGGGGGCAAGGATTTACTCCGAGAATCCCCTTCTTCCTTCCACAGCAGTTAGAGAGGGTAAGGTGGAGATTCAAATTTATCAGCCACCTACTAGTCAGGGGTGGATAGAAGAGCAATGTCCAGACATGGCATTTTGGTACTTGGAGAAGATACTGGAGTTTCTGTCAGAGGGGCTGGCCTTCCCCTTTGTCAGGGTGCCCTGAGTAGTGGTATCCCCTCACTCTGATCTCTCATGTCTGCATCTGGACAGTAGATTTATTCCTTTGGACAGTAAATGTCTGGAGTCCTGATGCTGATGTACTAGTAACTAAGTACAGTCCTCAAACACAACAAAAATCAGCATTTGCTTTGAAAGTAAAATAGGGTGGGAAAGTCATTTATTTTTCTTTAAAGGTGGGATGGTGGGAAAGAGAAAAGTTGGGCACCATTCAAATGGTTATTAAAATGCAGAATTCAAAATTTAAATTATTTGTCAAAATGTATATGATAGGGTACTTTGAAAGCCTCTTTTAGTTTAAAAAACCCTAAATAATACAAGGCAGTTTTAATAATACAAGTCTAGTTTTAAGGAGTGAAGTAAACAACAGCAAGGATAAGAAAAGAAAAATAATGTAATATAGCTAAATTCCCAATTATAAATCCTGTCTGATATACTTACCATATTGCTAGAGAATCTGTTCATATACGCTGTAATGACACCAGATTTGCTACCTGTAAAAAGCTGGCAACTGTCTGGTACCCAAGCACAACTTGTTACCTTGGAGAAAAAAAGAGCCAGAGAAAATTAAGTACTATTTTAAATACATTCTATTTCATTATACCTAGCTATTTTATCAAATCTATTTTTGTTGGTTTTCCTAAGAAAAACATGCAATAAATAAAATACCTGACTCAGAATGGAAGCCCAAGAGCAGTTTAATAAATCTGCAGCAGGTCATACATTTTGCATAGTTAGAGTTAAAATTATGTGTGAAATTATGTGGTGCATCTCTAAAATACATAGCACAGAACTCTCAGCTCAAAGGGATGGAGGTACATGTTAAGGTAACTTTCTGCCCTCCTGATCCTGGGCTGCTCTGCTGGCTGGAGAGGCCTTGGCGTAATTGGGACAGTCCTAAGGGTCTGTGTAAGTTATGGCAGCCTCCCAGGGCTGTGTGCTTTGTCCCCATCCTTGATGCACCCCTCTCACACATGCCCTATATCAGGGTTTGCAAGGTGGTCTTTGGAAAATATTCTTACTGCGGTCTTTCATGGTACCTTTGCTGGAAGAATCATATCACAGTCAGATGCAGGGCTTTCAGAGCACCTTTATGCAGTTCTGACTTTTATGTGGTATAAAGAGGCCAGTGTGGGGTGAGGGTCTCACTCTGACTTTTTCCATTTTGTCTTTAATCAACATTTTTGACTGTACAAACCGTAGAACCAACAAGGAGGCACTTATTCCGCACCCCACACATACCAATATTTTAAGGCATCTATGATCTTCCCTACTCTTGTTCTCAGCCTAGAAACAGATTGTTTGGAAAGTTCTATAAACTCATGATGACATATCCAATAAAGGTTTTTCTGCCAGGATAGAAGAGCAGAATCAGAAGCAAATTTTGGGAGCCGAGAGATTGAAGAGGAAAATTTAGTGGAGAAGTAAGAAAGAGGGCTATTTGGTGGATGGAAATGGAGGAAGAACCACCAAAAAGGTATATAACGTTTTTTGGGGGGGGAGGTGGAGGCATTTTGGAGAGCTTGGAGGGGGCTCATCCAAAAATGGGTATGCCCCAGAAAACGAATGTGGCATTTAGCGTAATTCCTAGATAGCACAAGCGAAATACTAATCAGCAAAGCAAATGAGTGCAGCTGAGATTAAACCTGGGACGTAAGTTTGTCTCCCCCACTCCATTACATGTTTTTTGAAGAACTGATTGAAATCCTTATGATCACATAATAAAGAATGTCATCAAGGACAAGGTGATGGTGACATTGATAACGGGCTACAGAGCCTTACATCTCTGTCACTGGTTCAAGCATGAACAAGATAGCGAGCGACTAAAGACACTTATCTGATGGCATATATTAAGGGACGTACGGGATCCACCTTAGTTCCCACTGGATATGTGCCCACATCACATTGAGCACCCTGCTGGCATTTTCAGAGACTCTAAGGATTACATGGGCATGGATGCTAAACCTTGCATTGTTAGAAACTGTTCCCCAAAAGTAAAGGTGCAGTGCACTGGGTTTAAAGTAGGGTGACCAGATGTCCTGATTTTATAGGGACAGTCCCGATTTTTGGGTCTTTTTCTTATATAGGCTCCTATTACCCCCCACCCCATGTCCTGATTTTTCACATTTGCTATCTGGTCACCGTAGGTTAAAGTGATCAGGAATGGTGGTGGAAGGCTATGAAATTTGCACTATCACTACCTAGGCTGTACATGTTCTCTATTAAAAATAGATTTCAGTTTTCAGTGATGTCATATAGAGCACCTTTTACAAATACATTAACTTTACAATCAGAAACACTTTAAAAAAGAGTTTTACCTGGTGCAACTGTGAACTCTGTATAAAATTTATTGGAGGTTCACTTTGCTTGCTTTTTAGTCTTAAAATGTTATCAGCATATCCCCAACTCAGAATGGCTGACCACTGGATATCTGTACTGTGCATGCTTCTCACACCTGCAGGAAAGGCATTATATGTTGTGTGTCAAGTATGCTGTCACAGTTTCAGGGTTACTGCACCTTTGCCGCCCCCCTCTCCAGTCTTCATTGAGGGCACCCACTTAAGTTTTTAGGCTTCCAGCCACCACCTCTCTTGGTGCAGAGATTCAGATCTCTCCCCTTCAGACTGGGGGTTTAGGCTTGCAGTCCCTCTGCACCTCACTGCAATTTCCCAGCAGGTCTGACTGGGATCCAGCACCTGTGGTTAACTCTTTCTCCAGGGGCTAAAGCAGTGTACACCAGTTACCAAACAGCTTTCACAAAGCAAACTGCATTTATATGCTTAGGGCAAAAGCATTACAGAAAAAAAATATAAAAAACAATAAAAATGCTAGACACATACTAGAAGCATACCAGAGGTCACCCCCCAACTCCTGCAGAGGGCTCTGGTAGGTGCCAGTCTTTCAAACCACATAAATGGGTTTGCTCCCTTGGTCCCAAGTTCATGTCAGCTTTTAGGTGGATTAGGAACCAGACCCCCAACTGGACAGTCAGCTGTTTCTTTAAACAGCTCAGGCCACTAGTGTCCATCTCTGAGAACAGGTAATCACCAGTCAATGGCCCTCTCCTCAGGGTGTAGCTTCAAATCTCTGGGTTTTTGCATAATGGGGGTTGTGGAATTTACATTAACCACTTGCCAGGGATTCCCCAGGAAACCCACTTAAACACTTATTGTCCCAAAATTCATGCCTGTCTGGCACATTTCAATATAGTCATCTGAACTCCTTATACTTCCCAGGTCTCACATCTGTCACGTGTGATTACATAACCGATCATTTTGGCAGCTATTTATAAAAATCCACAGTTAATATACAACATGCATCTTGCTTTATTAGGCTAGGATACAATGGCCGAAGTTTTTTAAAATGGGTGTCTCCAATTAGGCTCCAACATCCATCTTTAGGCTTCTAAATAAAGTGGCCTGATTTTCAAAAGTGCTGAGCACTAGAGCTCATTGACATTTTTCAAAGTCTGCCATTTTGACAAAAGTTTTCATTGATATTTTGAACTTGGAAGGGAAAAAAAAAGACAATTTTTGTGAATATTTCTGTGAAAATTAGGTCCTATTTTTTGACCACCACTACTCTCTTCCCTGGGCATCGCTGAGAACTCAACACTTCTGAAAGAGAGGCAACTTATTTTAGGTGCCTGTGGACGTCAGAGCCTAATTTGGCTCTTATTTTTGAAAATCCTGGCCAGTAAAATGCTTTAATGCAAGAGAGGCAATTATTAAAACCCATTTGTACATATATCAATAGGCTTTAATTCCATTGAGTTAACCTGACAACAAAGCCTTCTGCCTTACAGTTCTACTTCTGTTTCCCTTACTCATCTCCATTCCATCCTCCAACAATTATTCCTTCACTTCTCCCTCCTGCTGCTCTTCTATTCATTTACTTGTTCACCAACACTCTGGTTCTCTGGATATGTTGGCAAAGAAAGTTACCTGCCTTTCCCTAACTGTTGTTCTTCGAGAGGTGTTGCACATGTCCATTCCACTCATAGGTACTGACTCCATGGGTGTTCCAGGGCTGGAGCACCCATGGAAAAAAATCAGTGGGTGCTCGGCAGCCAAGCTCCCCCTCCCTCCCGCCGGCAGCCCTGCTGATCAACTACTCCTCCTCCCTCCCAGGACCTCCTGCCCACTGCAATCAGCTGTTTCACAGCGTGCAGGAGGCGCTGGGAGGGAGGGAGGGAGGAGCGGGGCATGCTCGAAGGAGGGGGTGGAACTGGTCAGGAAGGGGCAGGAAGAGGTGGAGCGGGGTCTTGGGGAAGAGGGTGGGTGGGGGCACCTGTGATTCCACGCTATGTGAGTGCGTGCCCAGCGCACTTTTGTTGGAGATTTTTTCCCGAAGGAGTACCAACTGGGGCAGCTTGAATGCCCTCTGCTGCCATACACCTCTGCATGCAAGTATAAAGGGCGGAACCACTACCAACCCACCTCAGTTTTTTCTTACTGGAAAGGCTCTGATAGAGAGGGGAAGGAGGGTGGGTAGTAGAATGAACATGTGCAACACATCTAGAAGATCAACAATTATGGAAAGGTAGGTAACAGTTTCTTCAAGTGACTGCACATATCCATTCCACTGTAGAGGACTCACAAGCAGATCGATCTGGAGGTGATCCCAAAGTCTATTTGAACAGTGATTGTAGAACAGCAAGCCCAAATCTGGCATCATTTCTGGAATGAATGGCTATAGTATAATAAGAAGCAAATGTGCGTGGACAACCAAGTTGTCATTTGCAAATGTCAGGAATAGGAACTTGTGCCCAGAAAGTCATAGAAGTTTAAGAGGAAACCAGGTGTCCACCACCACAATGAACAATTGTGATCATGACACCTAAAAAATTTAGTCCAGCCCAGGTAAAAACACTACAGCTCTTCTGATGTCTAAAAATGGTGGAGCTTCTCTTCATCTCTGTGAATATGAGGTTTTGGGAAGAACGGTGGCGAACAGATTGCCTGATTAATGTGAAAGTTGGAAACTATCTTTTTCAGGAATTTTGGGCAAGGGTGAAGGTAAACCTTGTCCTTATAGAAGGCTGTATAGGGAGGCTCTAATACCAGAGTTCTCAACTTTTTAACGAGGAATGAGGGAAGAACTTACAGTAGCAAAGCTATAATTGCTCCAACCACCGTCACTGGTGGTAAGAAGGAACTGAGGAAATTTGGGGGCAGCTCTGCCCTTTATACCTGCACACAGTGGCATATAGCAGCAGAGGGTGTTCATGTCCCCTGACAGGTACCGCTGCGGGGGAGAGGAGGAATCTCCAACAACCATGCGCTGGCCGCGCACTCAGCTACAGTGGAATGGACATATACAATCACTTGAAGAAGAATTGTGGGTTTCTAGAGTTCTGATATTTTAAAAACACCAAGCTGAGTTATTTTAATGAAAATACCAAACTAATTGATAAGAATTCTTGAAATCCAGCACCTTTATTAAAAAAATACTTAAATTCTATTTACAATCCTTAGCAGAATAAGACTGCAAACTTGAGCACTCTGCTAGAGTATTAGAGTGGCACTATAAAAATATAGCATGATTATGACTGGGCAACTAGTTAAGTTTTTCCAGTATTTCATATGTAGAGAGTAAACATGAAACTGATTTCTGGGGCTTCCTTACCTTGCTCTTTGCTGTATATCATCAAAAGGCAGAACTTTTGGGACAAACCACAGATGGCCCTAGTTGGCAGAGCCTGCAGAGAGCCAAACCTTTCTCCATGTGGCTGGCTGAAGCAAACAACTGGATCTGGAGCACTTGGGGAACCTACATATTCCCCCCACTTTAAACCTTTTATCCAAGGCAAAGGACTCTAGAACAAAGACAAATAAAATGCCAATTAAAATAGTCAGTGTAACAGAGCAATGCTATTTTATATGAGGAAAAAGTGCATTATAAATAAGACTCCTATAAATTATCCTAGTCTTGTGGTACTTTATATGACAGGGTCTATACTTTACTCTGTTATAAAGAAAAATAAAATTATGGAAAAAGGCAATTTAATGTCATATGCCAAGATATTAATTTCAAGTGACTTCTGTTTATTCAGAGACACAAGGTGGGTGAGATAATATCTTTTATTGTGCCAACTTATTTATTCAGTCAGTTATTTATAGGCTTGACTAGAAAACTGGTAACTTGCAGAGTTCAAGAAACAAAGTACGGTGAAACATCAGTTTTCCATTTCTATAAACATGGGCCAAATTCCTGATTAGGTTTTAGAGAAAATAAGTGTCTGAAGTGAAGGGGGCATTTTCCCACAAAGAATGCTAAACTAGACAAAATGTTGATACAGATTGTACACCACCCCATATTTCAACACTGGACCAAGAATTCACCATTCGAGGCGTGTAACTAGCCAGCCAGCAAACAAACATTTAAGTGCAGTGCAAGTACTGGCATTCTCTTTGCTTCAAGAAAGACTAGTGAAAATTTATTCTACTTTTTAATAAATCAAATACCAAAAATTAAAATATATTACAATGTAATTTTGCATTACTTCACTAATATTATATATTTTCCCCATGGTACAGCATTAACAGTGAGGTGCAACTTAGGGATTAGAATGCTCTGAAGCATTCTATATTGAAAAAGACCAGACAGCTGACATGGTAGACTATACTGATCAAATATAAGAATTATATTCGGTGCCTCCTGCACAATAAGCATATCTCAACGGTCCTGAATTTATTGGGCTCTCTCACATTTCAGTGCTTTTATAGCTTCAAAAGAGTCATTCTGAGCCCTGATATTTTTAAGTTTAAAATGATATTTTATGGGTACTTAAAGTCACTTGTATACTAAAATATCCAGATTGGAATTTTTTTTAAATGGTTACTGGCAGAAACCAGAAAGTAATTCATTTGATAACCTTGTTCAATACAGAAACAAAACTAATTTGCAACTTTCACATGCGTATTTACACATGGAAATTAGAATGGTTGTTTTTCCATTAGTTCTTCCTAAATTTCAAGGGTGAGAAGAATGGTAATGAGGTTGTACTGAAAAATACTGACTCAAAAAAGACAATAAAATTATCCTACAATAACAGAAGAACTGCTTAAAAACTTCTTCTTTACTTCAGCTTGCTTACTGACAAATATCAGATGAAAAAGCTTATTTTAATTCTGCCCTAAATTCTGCAAAAGGTCTGAAGCAAAATGTCTTGAAGCTCATCGTCTACGGTAACAGATATTTACTAACCACATTTCCTACAGAAAGACACATGGGCATATACTGAAACAGATTTGCCTCAGGCATGACAGCCTATTTGGTGCTCTGTGGAGCAGAAAAATCTCCTACTTCCATTGTGGAGAGAGAGAGAGAGGTGGAGAGAGAGAGAGAAAACTATTCCAGTCCAGCACCTTCCGCCCCCCACTATACACTCTGGGAGTAGAATCAGCAAGGACAGAAATTCACTGCCAGACAGTTCCTCCAGAAGCTTGGGCACCTCAAGTCACTTAGCCAGTTCTGCTCTGATCCACATAATCATGAAACGTCTTAAACGTGCAGAAGATATACTGCTAACGCTTTTCATTAATACAGTGTAAGTGCAGCCGTTTTGCTTAATTATTCAGATGTGTACATCAGGGTACAGTAATTACAGCCTGTGAATGCTAATTGAGCAATCTTGTGAATCAAATTACATACTGGATATACTATTTCTTTAGCGTGCTCCCTGGTTTCTCTGAAAGCAAACTGCACTAATAACCCCATGGCAGCGGGAAGTTCTCCTTCTATTATGAGCCTGGATCCGGGTCTGCTGACATGCGCTGTGTGGAACAATTGACGAGGGGTTTGTCCATATGTTTTTATCATTGTTTCCAGGGCTCTTCTTTGAACTGGATCCTCAACAGCAGAAACATCCATCCCAAAGTAGGTCTAAAATGTAAAACAGCAAACACAAAAGCTAAGTAAAGTTATCTTTGAAAAAAGTTTCCCAACTAAAACTGCACAAGCTTAGAACCAGAGTCTTCAGCCCTTTTGTAATTGACTTCTGGATGCAACAGAGTTGCAGAACTACACCCTAAAGTGTTAAGGAAAACCAGCATGAATCAAGGGGACTATATGATCGACATTTAAATACTCTATTTTACCATGAGCAATTAAATTACAGTGGTGAAACCCATAAGTGAGAGAGCCTGGCTGGACAAAGTCAGGCTGCTGCACTGCTAAAATGTAAGCCTTTCAAGGAATGCATTTTGAGACCTGAAAATGTACAATTTGGGAATTCTTTTGAAATTGACAAGTCCTTAGTCATCTTGTTCTCCTGTCACCACTGTCCTGAGTAAATCCAGAGGCTTTTGCAGTGTAATGCAGAGGCTTAACCAGTTCTGTGATCCAACGTTAAAGCCACTGCAGGGGTTTAGCTTAAATGGGACATTAATTATGTTGCAGGTGAGTACAGTAAGGAACACAAATGATTGTGGAGGAGGAACAGTATAAATGTTGTGCTCTCTAATCAGACACTTCACTTATCTCTGCTGCAGCCTTCGTTACAATCTGCCAAAGTGAAAGGCTTCTTTTTGATGGAAGAGGAAACAAAAATACTGCATTTCTAGATATTATTGCAAACAATGACTAATTGTCCAATAGGCTTTTAAGTAGACATACATTGTGTGACAATTCCCTGCCTAGCTTTAGCCCAGGAAAAATGATTTAAAATAGACATAATTGACCTTCATGTCACAAACCCTGAGATTTTACCAATTCTTCATTTAAATATTCAGTCTTTTTCCCTGTTCTTTGATAGTTAGCTATTTCAAGGGAATTTGCCTAAAGCTGGATGTTTTCCAAGCAATCGGTCAAATCATCTCAGAGATCAAATAATTTTATACTCTGAACAGATTACTTGACAAAAAGATACTTACGGCAGGATGGAAGACATTGATAGCTTGAACCGAAGCCTTGCCCTTTTGCTTATACCCAAACACTAAATCAATCCAGTTACAGATGGTCTGGGAGACATGATCAGACTCTAAAGCCTGACGATGAATCAGGATGAAGAGACGGGGATCATTACGAGCCCATGGGGGGAGATTGACATGGTTTACTCTTTCACCATTTTGACGCAGTCCAAAATCAAAACCTAGAAATGTAAAGAGGAGGGTTTATACGGTTTTATTATTTACCATTTATATTACTGTAGAACCTAGGAGCCCCAGTCATGGACGAGGACTCTATGGTGCTAGGTGCTGTACAAACACAAAACAAAAAGACAGTCCCGGCTCTACAGACAGATGAGGCAGTACAAGAAAACAGTGAGACAGTATTTATCAGCAGATAGGCAGTGGTCTCAGCACACCAGCAGCCTAACAGTTTTTTTTTTTTTTTTTAAATATGCATCACTGAGAAGGAAAGTTTATGCGGAGCTCCACCCAAGCATGAGGGGCAACATGGCAGAAAGCACAATTTTAGGATTTCAATTACAACAGCAGCAACAAAAGGGAGGTCTTTGCAAGAGTTCTAGGTGTCCTGACACGTACTCATTCCTACAATAGCATAATGAACCCAGCAGTGTTAAAAAAACGTTCAGATATGAACAAGGTAATTTGAATCAACCAGTAACTAAGCTACAAAAAAAATAAAAAAGCTTCTTTCTGCCTCCCACAGTGCCACTATCTCCAGGAATCTTCTCCAAAAACCTCATAAAAGAAGTGTTTTCTGTAGGATACCCAGAAAGTCCCCAAAATTTTGGTTGATCTATATTTAAAAAGAAATCTGCACCCATTTCACTCTGAGCATTTTCAAAAGCCTTGTGAATCTATAGGCCTTTTCTGAATCTCTGCAGGGAAGCGTGCTTAAACACAGTTCTTGCTGGAAAGGTGATAACATGCTTCTGATCCCTAGTGTAGAAATGATCTAACTATATTACAGAACTGTATACAGTAAGTGGGCTGGCAATATCCTTGTGGAAAGCCATGTGATAAATTGAATAATCATGTACCTTAGTCTCACATGCACTCTGTACACTATATCCACTGGGACTACTAGCATTCCAATTCTCTTAGCAGCTTCAAACAGATGGTACTTTTTTTTTTTGTGGGGTGGGGGGAGGAGCACAAACCTTTCAAATGTCTGATATCCCCACTGTGCAACAGCCCTGAGGTCCAGAATGGGTAATACTCAACACTAACACTGCTTCTTGCTATAGTCACTGAAGGTCTGATCTCTCTACTTGAAGTCTTCTACTGATTCAGTAAAACACTTCCTTCACCAGCCTCCATCACTGATCCTTTCCATTCCATTCTCGATGGTCAGTCGCTCTTTCACATTCACCCCCGTCACTACCACCTGACTCCACCAGTTAAACTTAAATTATAACAAGGAAACATGAATAATAGAAAAGGCTCAATCTTACAAAGTGCTGAACACTACTGTGAGATGTTGAGTGCCCTCAACTCCCAAAGGTTTTATTGGGTATTGTTGGCACCCAGCACCATATTGGATCTAGCCACAAGTCCCTTGAGGACAGCATGAAGACAGTAAACTCTCTCAAAACAACTGACAGATTGTCAGAGCCTCCTGGGGAAACCCTAAAATGTAACTAGCTGAAAAAAGTAAACAGATTTATCAGAAGCACATTACCCTCAATGGAAAGGAGCAGATGCTCTTTCAGTTATAACAAACAGATTTTAATTTTCTACATTTACCAAACATCCTTGGCTGGATTAACTTTTATGGTTTTCTTGAAATCAAATAAGACTATGGCAGTACACCTCATGAGCATGAAGTCTGGGCTTGCAGAACTAACAAAAGTGGCAACAGTAGAGTCAAGCTTAAGCCTCTGTGGCTAAAGATTCAAGATCTGGACCTGCCAGGTTTCCCCTTCACAATCAATTAAAAAACATGGGGGAAAAAAACCTGATCATAACATGGAATTATCAGTTTCAACCCAGAGGCCCAATCCTTGTGCCTTTTTAGAGATCATTTTGGCACTGTCTCATATACCTTCTCTGTTAACTAAAAACTCTGGAAGATAGAAAAATTCTGGGATAAGCTCCTTCACGTCAGTCATAGATTCATAGGAGGAGAGGCGCCAAGTTGTGTGGGTAGAATGAAAGGTTCTGTCTGGGATGTCAAAACTTTGATCTGCAAAGAAAAACCAAAACTGAGTTTATTACCTTGACAATACCGATTGTACATTGGTTACCTCAAAAAGTTCAAGTTCACCAACTTTGCTCGGCTGAGGCCTGAACATTTAGATCCCAATTGCTACATGTGAGACCTAGAGTTAAAAGCCATAGAGAGCAGATTTTTTTCTAACTGATCACAGAAGATGTACAGACATTTTTAGAAGATGTAGAGTTTTGTGAGATGCACAAAGAGTTCATGTACTACAGGTGCTCTTTATGAAAGCCTCAAAAGGGTCCACTGTCAAGGTAGGTCAGATTTCCAAATTTACCACACTTGATAATTTCACTTTATTTTTCATTTGTCATTTTTAACAAAATTAATCTTACCTTGATAAGCTAAGAACATTTTAGTGAAAGGAGGCATTCTAACTAGAAAGTGAAGTACAGTTCCACTGTTGGAGTAATGAGATCCATAGTGATAAGGCTGCACAGGAGGCATTGGGTCATCCTCTCTAGCTCCTTTGCGGTACTCCTCTTCCAAATACTAGAACAGGAAGAACAGGTAAAGCATGGGTGTTGTATCTTATCCAACATGCTACTTAAAAGCTATGTTGCTAGGATACTATACTAAGAGATGCATTCTTCCAGCACTTCACTGGTGCTTTCTATCCCAGACAATTTCTGAAGAATTTAAGCTCTCATTTAGAAGAAAGGGCCTCACTTAGTGGGTTTTTTGTTTGTTTGTTTTTTTCCAGTTGTAAAAATAGCTGCTGTCTGAAGTAATTCGTTATTCATTTTTACCCCACAATATTTTTCTGGAAGAGACCATTCCAATAACTGTTTCCAATGCTTCAGCTTACACCTTTCAAAACATTAACCATGGTTTTCGGAAATTGTACTAACCATGGTTTGTCCTATTGAACAGAGTTAACTGCAGATGTAGAACACTAATTCAGCTGCACCTGTCGGTTTAATCTTTTTTCAGAAATAGGTAACTTCTATAGTGTGGACCAGGTGCCATTTGACCTTTACAAAAAGGTATAACTTTCAGGAAAGAGACATAATCCTGACTCTTCCATCAAAAACTTATTCTTAGGGGTGGCAAATTTAAAGGGATAGTAAATACGAGTTTTTGTAGCAAAAGCTGCAGAAAAATCAGATCAAAGACATTTTCAGAAGTGCCAAAGTGACTTAGGAGATAACATCTTACATTCAAAAGAGGACTTAGGGCTAGATTTACAAAGATATTTAGGAAGAGATGCAGATATGTATCTTTGAAAATCTCAGTAGGTGCCTAAGTGAGTTTTATCCTAAATCGGTTTGAAACTGCCACTGAAAATATGGATGTCAGGTTCACTACACTAGAAAACCCATCACTTACATGCTTGAGCCCATACAGCAATCTAGTAATAAAGAATTGACATCACTATGGCAGTGTACTAACTGACAATCTGCTAGATCATTTTACATAAATATTGAATGAAGAGGAAACGGTGCCATACATGGATGGTTTCCATCAAAATTTCATTTTAAAAACATCAATTCAACCACAAATGACAGTGCATATGCACACTTAAGCTTTTAAGCAACAGACCATCTGACTTTCACAATATATTGCTCTAGTTATAAATCCTGTTCTTGCTGTCCAGGAACACTGTGGTGTCATAATGTGGGTTTTTCACACTAAACTTAAAATCAAAACAAGTTCATACACACACTTTTGTCAAAGCACACTCCAGATCTTGATGCAAATCTAAATGAAAGGCCCATGTCTAAATGCTTTCCAGCCCCATCAAGTCATTCGCTATGGAATTTAATGGGGGTGGGGGCGCCCAGGAACAAGATACATTTGTTGACATGGTCACTATGACTGCACCCCATATTCATCATAGTATTATAATAATATGGTTGTGGCATAATTATGATGATTTTGTGCAAGATAAGTCAAGTGAGGTGTCATTGGAAAAGATATGATTTGCTGAATATGATTATCCTATTTGTCCGCATGTATCATTTTTGTATCTGAAGTTATAAACACTATGTATCTGTACTTCAAATGTAATTACGCATGGGTAACGCCCACTAGGCAAGATGCTTTCAGTCTAGATAGCCGGTTGGGAAGGGCTTATTCAGGGCATTGAGCCATTAGGGAAAACAACAGGCCTTAGGAGAAGCTTATCTCCCCCCCACCCGGTGAGTCTTCCTGAGAATGCTCCAGACAGCCTGTAAGTAATGGCTGCTAGGACTCTACAAGGACATGTGACCAGGCCACATGATTCTAGACTCCATCTTGGGATGTCAGTATTTTTCCGCAGACCAGTCTGGGAACCAAGTTTTGAAACAAAGGGCTCCTGTCATATACTAAAGCTATATAAGGCAGGGAGTCACATCATCTGTAGTTCTTCACTCCACACACAGGAAGACACCTGGAAACACCTGAGGAACAAAGACTAAACTGGAGGATGTGCTGGACCAAGGCTAAACGGATTTCTAGCCTGTGTATGAAAGACCTGGGGATTCCAAGCTGTAAAGCAAGTGCAACTTGTCCCATAAGAATCTGCAGCCCGCCTGTATCATCAGCCAAGATGAGAATTTGCTAGTTCGTATCCTATCTTTCTAGTATCTTAGACTTAGTTTGTGTTTTGTTTATTTACTACGTAATCTGCTTTGATCTGTTTGTTATCACTTAAAAAATCTATCTTTTGTAGTTAATAAGTTTATTTTATGTTTTAATCCAAACCAGTGATCTTTGACTGGAGTGCTTGTGGAAAATCTCTGCTTGGTTACCACAAGTGTACATTGTTCTCTTCACATTGAGGGAGAGGCGGGCCAGTTATTAAACCCATGGACTGGCCAGATTTGACCAGGGCAGGACAGTTCTGCTCTGGGGTCTTAGGCTGGGAAGCTGGTGGTTAGAGAGCCTGTGTGTAACTGCAGAGGGGTGTGTCCCTATCTATGTGAATGCTGGTGAAAGTGCAGGCTGGAGGACTTGGCAGCTTGTCACAGCAACAGTGCGAGAGGGAGCCCAGGCTGGTGGGTCAGAGGGCTCAGTGGTACCCCAGTTCCAGGTGGCACCCCGGGGGGGAACCGGTCACAGTCACCATAAACAAACGCTCAGTAGCAACAGCAGGCAGCACTAATGGAATACTAATTCTACTCTATATGATCAGATCTATTTTCAAACTAGATTGAGGTTAGGAGATGAGGAAATACTTTTATTAATTAAACTAACTGCACAAAATCTTTAAATGACCCAGGATGTTTGAAGGCAAACATAACTGTTCTGTTGCATACTAGAAAAAACCCAGATGTACAACATAATTTTTTAGACCACAAAATGCAAGGCAATTTACAGAGATATATTTCTTTCTTTCGCTTCTTTGGTTAACTTCATATGTATTTATCTGGCAGGTCATGAATTTAAACCCCAACATACATCATATTGTTTTGGTTTTAAGATACCAGAATAAAACACATTGTAGAAATGAGAGTTTAAGATACCTTGTAAGTATCCACATATCGATCTTCCTTTTCTTTAGACTGTACAGCTATGGGTTTGGCTAGATTTCTGTAATAGGAGAAATGTTGACATCTTATTTTCATATGAAATTAGAAAATTCAGTTAAATGTAGATTAACATATACGAAGACTGATCTTTTTAACTAAATTAGATTAAGAAGAGTTAAAATATAAAAGGACAAATACAAAGACAAATCTTAAGAACAAAGCTCTACGTATGAGTTTAGGAAAATAAAATGACTATAAAAATACATATTCTTAATTTAAAATTGGCCATTTGATGTTAGTGCTAGAGGAATGAAAGTCATTTGTCCACAGAACAGTTACAGTATAGGCAACAGGCAGCATACTCCCCATTCTGCCCCCACCAACATGCTTCAGTCCTGACTTGTAGCATCCCTTTAAGAGTAATGCCTGGTCTACCGTGGCAAGGAACCTCCTCTGTGTCGCTGGAATTAACACTTCCCCCACAAATCAGGCCCACTCTGGCCAGCGTGCGTCTTCCCCCTCTGTATTTTCCTATCAGTATTTTCAAGGTAGGCCTCAGTTCAGGCCCAAGGAGTAGGGTTGCCAACGCTCCAGGATTGGCCCGGAGTCTCCTGGAATTGGCATCAATCTCCCAGTGACTATTGAAAGCAATCCAGGAGATTTTAATAGGATATTTTAAGAAAATGACATGACATGTTGGGGGAAGAAAAAAATCTCCCGGAATAGCTTCAGTCAGAGTTGGCAACCCTACCAAGGAGGGTTCCTCCAGCTAACAAAAGAAAACCAATTTACAAACACAAACAAAGGGGGGTACCTTTCCCTGCCCTCCTGCTGTAGGAGGTGGTGGGGTGGGGTGCTGTCCTGTTATTGGCCCCAGATGTGTCAGTCCTTCCCCTAAACAGGCACTCAGCTTTGATTATTTCCCCTGTAGGGAGGAGAGCAGCCTCTCACCCTGGAGAAGCCTATCTCCCTGCTGCCACTAGCCCTGCAGCAGCTCGTCTCTCCTCCCTGTCTCTCATCAGAGGCGGGGTTTTTAAACGGTGTCAGGAAGCCCTTAATTGGACTCAGGTATCCCTAACTGACCTGAAGTAACTCTCTCTCAGTTTATAGGAAAATTGGCTTCTCTCATTCTAAGGCTAACATACCTGCCTTCCATCACTCCTCTTGCTCGATACTAAGTGGCGGGACCTATTGCCATCTGTTGAGGGTGATAACCCTGGTGGGCCAGTCTGTATTCTGCCTTGGTCCCACAGCCCTCCGGGGATATTAGTTGGTGGCTCCTTCATGGAGCCGTGAGCACAGGCACATACCTGGTGCGGTTCACCCTTATCACAGATGTCTGTCCCTTTTGCGACATGAGGGAGACCCAGGCCTACCTTGGGTGTGCCAGGTTGCAGCCCCTTTTCCAGCTTCTCCTGGACATACTTTTGTGGTTCTGGCTGCACTTCTGCTCCCAGCTTCTAATTTATGCACACCCCATTCGTGGCCCCTGCTCGTCAACCTCCTCCTAGCAATGGCCAATGTGGCCATCTGTAACACCAGGGAGAGGATGCTAGCTGAGGGAGTGCTCTGCAACTGTGGGGCCTATTTCTGTTCCTCTCTCCATTCACATATCCAGGCAGAGTTCCGCTGGCTCCCTTGACATCTTTGAGGAGCAGTGGGCGCTGTCCGGGGCTCTCTGGTCGGTGTCCTCTTCAGGTTCCCTGATTCTGACCCTTTGACATGCACACCTGTCCTTGTTTACTGTTTTGTTGTCCCCAATACTTATTTGAGTCCCAAGCTCAATAGTTCCTGCCCTTAGGCTTGGGGAGGAGCCTTTAGCTGTGGGTGGGCTTGTGACCGCCCACCTCCCAGAACCCAACAGGACTACTCCTCTTGCAGTTGCCTAGCCTGACTTTCACACTACACACAAGAGCTGCACCAACTTCACTAAAATCCATTTTAAAAATCAATGTAGTTAAGATTGTGCCTGTGTGGACACCTTTTAGTCTGTTTACAACTAGCTGATATAGATTTACCTTTGGTAACTGACAAGTTGCTCATATAGCATAATTCTGTTTTTGGTTATGTTTTGCTAAATTGTCAGGAGGTCTTTGGTTACAGGCTGTTTTTTGTTTTAAGACAAAGGAATGTATATCTGGAAGTGTAAGACAGCAGGTATTGAGTGAGACCTGCCAACTACTGTGAATATAAATGCTGGTAACAACTGGTATGCTATTCAAATTGACTAGATGAGCCACCTACCTATTGTTAAAGGTCATTCAAATACCATTAGACCAGATGTGTTTCCTAGCAATCTTCCTAATTAAGTCTTGGTTTATCAGGGTGATCATAAGTGGATTTTACTGAAATAACCAGTTTAATGAGTTATCTGGAAAGGAGTAATTTCAAAGATTTCATGTTACCTATAAACAGATGGATCATGTAGGTCCAGTGTTTCGCTGGTGTAGTCAGAAAGTATAAAGGGAAATACTGGATACTGCATGAGATCATTGAAGGAACGGCCAGCATGTTTGTTTAAATGAGTTAGGTATTCAAAGTTGGTAATCTGTCCTGTGTACCATAGGTGGGTCAAAGCAGTAATGTTCCCATACTCCAAAAGATTAGGCAGGTTGTTCATTAAGATGTTGTGGTACACATCATCACGGACCTAAAAAAATTATTGTAGTTTTAATCAAGCAACACATTTAAACTGTCAAACTACGTCTCCTCCTACAGTATGTAAGATTCTCTCATTTACAAGGTTCTAGAGATCTGTGAAGATCAGAACAATGTGATAAAAAGTCACAACATTAAGATATTGAATTGGTTTAGTCCTTTGTTTTTAGAACATACCTATGACACACATCCTGTCTATCAAAAAGCCTGGCTGAGCCCTTAACTCGTATCAGCTTCCAGAAGTATCTAAGAATTCAAAGAAGCCTACCCATAGTTTTTCTTAATGTATTCCATGAAAATACACATTATGTATTGAAGAAATTATAAAAAATATCTTTATACACATATTATATATTACCATGCATTAATACCACACTGTTACCTTTGTGTTGTCAAAAGCTAAGAGTAAAGTTCTGCCATTTGTTAAAAATATTTCCACAGCATTGTCTCTTAATTGCCACCATCTCTTATGAACTTCCTTGATTTCTTCATATGTCCAAGAAAATGATGCTGGTTCAGTTTCCCCGTGAAAACTCTGAAGAACATACAGTAGATTGATACAGAAAATGTTTTGCTCAGGAGCCTTTAAAATTAGCCCTATTTGCAGTCAGTTTCCATTTATTTATACTGCATACTGTAAACTAATGCTCTGTGTGTAGTAATTTACTTTAAACTTTGGCTTGTACTTTTGAAAATCTTAAATTAAGCTGCATTTCTCTAATAGACAAAGAATTAAGTTGTTTACCAAAGACTTTAAAAACAAAAGATCTATTAAATAGTTTTCATTATATAATCTGTTTCACCCCTACGTCAATACAAGACACTGTTAGGGATCATAAGAATTAGCTCAATCAAATGTCACTTTAGGGTAAAAAAAGCTTTGTTTTTATTATCCACAAGTTTCACCTTTCAATAGAGAAGTAGATTAAGATTCCTAATTCTGGGGTTCTGGTCCATGATTAAGGCTCCTAGGCATTACCGTAATATACAATAAAATCTGGTGTTTTTTTATATATAACAATATATAACATATTAAGAGACTGGTAGAATTGGGAATAATAACTTCCATTATAGAATAAAGAGACTATCAGCCTTACTCAGGGCATTTGTATGTTATTGCTGAAATGTTGGCAGATAAGCATTTTAAAATTCTCAAATAATCACACACAAATAGAGTCTAACAGTCTATGAATTCAAACTCCCAGATATCTTAATATACAAATTAAAAATTAATATTATGATGATTTTAAATGATAAAGCACCAAAGTTATTCTCGGTTCTGGTTTAGAGAATTTAGAAAAATGTGTGATCTGTGAAAAACTTTAGCTCATACTCACAGAACTTTCTACTGTGTCAGAAGCATTGTCTTCAACGAAATACATTCCATATTTGCCTGCAGAGAGGAATATTTATACAAAAGGTGACTGTTACTATACTAATTTGTCTTTACTTTTAACATCTATAAAATGATTATACATGATGTCTAAAGCACTAACGATGCTGTTCATAATAGTAAGTAAAAAGCACAGCACTTAGAATCATAGAATATTAGGGTTGGAAGAGACCTCAGGAGGTCATCTAGTCCAACCCCCTGCTCAAAGCAGGACCAACACCAACTAAATCATCCCAGCCAGGGCTTAGTCAAGCCAGGCCTTAAAAACCTCTAAGGATGGAGATTCCACCACCTCCCTAGGTAACTCATTCCAGTGCTTCACCACCCTCCTAGTGAAATAGTGTTTCCTAATATCCAACCTAGACCTCCCCCACTGCAACTTGAGACCATTGCTTCTTGTTGTATCATCTGCCACCACTGAGAACAGCCTAGATCCATCCTCTTTGGAACCCCCCTTCAGGTAGTTGAAGGCTGCTATCAAATCCCCCCTCACTCTTCTCTTCTGCAGACTAAATAACCCCAGTTCCCTCGGCCTCTTCTCGTAAGTCATGTGCCCCAGCCCCCCTTGGTGGAAATGAAGCTAAATACGATCCTTGACAAGCATTCAATGACTTAAAGTAACAACAATAAATCTAATGAGCACACTGTGAAAACTGTAGGAAAGGAAGGCCAAACTGACTAGTTGGGTAAGCAGATGGAACTCCAGTAGTCAGAGGTAAGGCCAGAAGGGGACCACCATATTATCTAGTCTGTCTTCCGGTATATCACAAACCACTACCACAATAAATGCAGTTACAATCACATAAGCCAATGATGAATTTACCCTGGAATGTCTGTGTTAATAAAATTCATATAGAGGCTGTAGATATGTAAATTAACTAAGACTGAAAAAAACATTAAGTGCACAATAGCCATGCAACTCAAAGCAGCAACACACAAATAAAATATTCTGTATGTGGGGTAATCTATGACTATTCATCATCCTCTGTACAATAAGAGGTAAAATATGTGGAAAGTCAAGCAACATTTCGGATACTCCAAGATACATATGAACCATATGTCTAGACAAAAATCAGTTGTGTGTTAACATTAGAAAATTTAATCCATATATTAACTGTGACACTGGCAGATCAGGTGCCAGCTCTTGTCAAGACTGCAGGCATTAGCTAAGAACTGAAACTCATAGCTGAGACTAGACTAGTTCACCTGTACCTCAGTTTTGCTCAAAATAGGTATTAGTCTTATAAGAACGTATTTAGTGTTTTGACTCTGAAATGCTTGTAAATTGCTGCATGCATTAATCTCACTTGTAATGTCAATATTCTATGCTATAAGAAAATATGTAAATTTTGTCTTATAACTTCATAAATGTTTGCTCTGAACTTGCAAACCCAGGTACAGGAATTGTCATTCCCCCACCCCACCCATTCAGGAGGACCATCAAAATTTAAATGGGGCCATTATAAGACAAAAGCTGTGTTAATTGTCCCATCCACCCATGGTGAAGTAGGTGCAGAAGGCTGTAGCTTTGAATGCTGGAAGAGATAAATGAAAAATCTTCACATCAACTCTTTTTTTCATCTCTTTGCTGAACTCTCACAGGGCTAGAGAAACCAAACTGAAGCCAGAGATCCTGGGTCTACCCAGAAAGACACACTGAATTGACAGATCTCTACAACTCTGTCACTCTTCGGATTTAGATGCAACTCATTTGTGTATATACATTTGCTTGCTTTAAACTGTAAATAATTCTGTTACGTTTTTCCTAATTAATAAACCTTTAAATAGTTTATTACAGGATTGGCTGCAGGGGCTATCTTTGGTGTAAGATCTAGAGTAGCAATTGATCTGGGGTAAGTGACTGGTCTCTTGGGACTGAGAGCAACATGAATATGATGTGATTTTTGATGTAAGTGACCATTTATCACTAAATCCAGTCTATGTGGATGGCAAAATAGACTGGAAAGTCTCAGGGGATTGTCCGTGAATCCATGGTGAGACTGTTATAATTGATCCAGGAGTTCACATTAGTTACTGTGTTGGTAAAATCTAATTATAGACCATACCACCATTTTGGAGTATCTACCCTGTTTTTCTGACATAGGCACTCAGATTCGTGAGCCACTCCAGACAAACTGACATTTACATGAATAGAATTAGATCTATACTAGATAATACAGTACTTAGTCCTGCCATGGGTGCAGGGGACTGGATTAGATGACCTCTTGAGGTCCCTTCCAGTCCTACGATTCTATAATAAGGTTTCTCTATTACAGAAGGATTAAAGCTGCTCTTTAAACTAAACTAACCTTTTTACAAGAACATTTTTAATATTTAGTCATTGAAACTGTTATGCTTACCTAACAGCAATTCACCAGCTGTCTCTCTAGAAGGTGCTACATTGATGCATCTTCGATTCACTCTGCATATATACAAATAGAAACATTTACTACAAGTCATAAAATTCAGTAGATATCTAAAATTAACAGCCTCAAATACTACACACTATAACCAAGTAGACTTTTCCTTTTTTCTGTGACCCCAAGTGTTCAAATCCCAAAGGAACGTGTAAAACTAGCTCTCAGCTCTTTAAGAATTGTGAGCAGCTGAATAAAACAGCTGAATGTTCAAACTATGAGAGAAATACCAAGCTCAAATTTTTTAATATATATTCACTTGTACAAATTTAGGATTTGTTGCTTTCCGCATGCCACAGCTCTTTTTTATGTTAAGCTAATTTGGTGCTTGTGAAAGGTGCTGGATTGCCAGCACTGCAAAGTTAAAACCTAGTTATCCATTGAATACATATAGTATAGGCAGTGAAGGTGCAGATTTACTCAGCTAGTCAATGAAAGGATGAGAATATAATTCAATCTCCACATCCATTCACTTCTGGGCCTCTGCTGAAAGCACGAATAAATTTCAATTGCAATGCTGATATTTGGAAATGAACCACAACAAAGGCATTGATCATAGGCCCAATACCACCCAGATGGTAATGACTTTTTACTAATTGTTAAGCTTTAAAATCAGCAACCTAGAAGTGAAAAGCTCTGTAAACCCACTACCATCTCTCAAGTCACCCACTCTACTATGTTTGCTGTTTTTAATTTATGACAAGCAAGTGAAGCAGGTGCAAGTTAAGTCTTCTTAAATAAAAATATTTCTTTGTTGGGAAACATTGTATGATCTTATCCCTATTGTTCATCTCATGGTCGCCCCTCATGAACAAAGGCAAAAAATAATAGTTTCCTTTGAGTAAGATTTTCCCCCCCTAATTTAAAGCTTACCTTATATTCTCACTTGCTGCTTTGTCTTTTACAGTGGAAGAGTGAGAGGAATGTGTTTTATCTTCAAATAGGTAAGACAAAGGGGGTTTGATCACTTCTATTGAAAAGTGTAAAAGAAAAAAAATCGATTAAAATATTAACACTCTAGCTTTTGTGAAAATTTAGTTATAATCTTAAAAGTGTTATTACCTTCCTGTTTCTGCCTATCTCGGAGCAGGTACTTATTTGGTATTGTTAAATAGCACCTCTGCAAACGGCGTCTCTCTCGGTTTGGGCCTTCTGTTGGATCTAGTTGCCAAGATGTTGGGTAGCAGACAGGATCATACCAGAGTGTCCTGAAAATGAAAGTATTTTAGCATTTTAGAACAACATGACAACATTATATCTATATAGATCTCTCATTTATTCTAATTAATTTTTTTAAAAATTGGTAAATACATAACCATTACAAACAGGCATGAATTTCACAGTGAAACGTTGTCCAACTCATGTTGCTATAAAATAGAGGACTGGATCCTGCAGTCCCTTAGTCTCATGGGCTGTTCCATGGATTTTAATAGAACTATTCATGAGTAAGTACTGCTGGATTGGTCAGCAAACTGCTTGAAAGTTATCAAGGGAATAAGTAACAGTACTGATGCATAATGTGGTGCTTAGTAAATTAAATTGCTACACTGCGACCTAATACAGCTTGTCCAAAAATAGAAGTACCATCATGGTGGACACTCTTAAGTTTGAAACTGCACTTTATTTGGACCCTTTCCTTTTTAAAAGATCTTATACGCTTTTGTTTCTGCAGTAACAAGATACAGCATTTTTGTTGCCAGTCAAGATTTCTTGAATTGGCTTAATGCATTTGCAAAAACACTGGCTGGAAGATATAGTTTATGCAAAACACTCAAACCAGATCTTTGTATTAGCCCTTCACTTTTACTACTGTACCTTTCCAATGTAGTATAATTTTATGTTGTTCCTTGTCCTTCGCCCATTAGGTACACTGATTATATTTGATAAAGGGCCAATCTATAGATATTTCAAGATCTAAAAAACGTCCATTGGATTGTCCACTTATATACAGGAAAATATATTTAGTAGGGCTGTCGATTAATCGCAGTTAACTCACGCGATTATCTCAAAAAAATTAATCACGATTAAAAAATTAATCGTGATTAATTGCAGTTTTAATTGCACTGTTAAATTTCAATTGGTATTCTATTGTTTATCAAATATTTTGGATTTTTTTCTACATTTTCAAATATATTGACCAACAACAACAACACAGAATACAAGTGTACAGTACTCACTTTATATTATTTTTATTACAAATATTTGCACTGTAAAAATGGCAAACAAAAGAAATAGTATTTTTCAATTCACCTCAGACAAGTACCGTAGTGCAATCTCTTTATCATGAAAGCGCAACTTACAAATGTAGATTTTTTTTGTTACATAACTGCAGTCAAAAATAAAACAATGTAAAACTTTAGAACCTGCAAGTCCACTCAGTCCTACTTCTTGTTCAGCCTATCGCTAAGAGAAACAAGTTTGTTTATATTTATAGGAGATAATGCTGCCCGCTTCTTATTTACAATGTCACCTGAAAGTGAGAACAGGTGTTTGCATGGCACTTTTGTAGCCAGCACTGCGAGGTATTTACGTGCCAGATATGCTAAACATTCATATGCCACCATTCCAGAGGACATGCTTCCATGCCAACGCTCATTAAAAGAATAATGCGTTAATTAAATTTGTGACTGAACTCCTTGGTAGAGAATTGTAGGTCTCCTGCTCCATGGTTTTACTCACATTCTGCCATATATTTCATGTTATAGCAGTCTCAGATGATGACCCAGCACATGTCGTTCATTTTAAGAACACTTTCACTGCAGATGTAACAAATCCCAAAGAAGGTACCAATGTGTGATTTCTAAAGATAGCTACAGCACTCAACCCAAGATTTAAGAATCTGAAGTGGCTTCCAAAATCTAATTGGAACGGGGTCTGGAGCATGCTTTCAGAAGTCCTAAAAGAGCAACACTCTGATGCGGAAACTACAGAACCTGAACCTCCAAAAAAGAAAATCAACCTTCTGCTGGTGGCATCTGACTCAGATGATGAAAATGAACATGCATCAGTCTGCACTGCTTTGGATTGTTATCGAGCAGAACCCATCATCAACATGGACACACATCCTCTGGAATGGTGGCTGAAGCATGAAGGGACACATGAATCTTTAGTGCATCTGGCACGTAAATATCTTGCAATGCTGGCTACAACAGTGCTATGCGAACGCCTATTTTTACTTTCAAGTGACAATGTAAACAAGAAGCGGGCAGCATTATCTCCTGCAAATGTAAACAAACTTGTTTCTCTGAGCGATTGGCTGAACAAGAAGTAGGACTGAGTGGTCTTGTAGGCTCTAAAGTTTTACGTTGTTTTATTTTTAAGTGCAGTTATTTTTTGTACATAATTTTACATTTGTAAGTTCAACTTTTATGATAAAGAGATTGCACTACAGTACTTGTATTAAGTGAACTGAAAAATACTATTTCTTTTATTCTTCCAGTGCAAATATTTATAATAAAAAATAAATATAAATTGAGCACTGTACACTTTGTATCCTGTGTTGTAATTGAAATCAATATATTTGAAAATGTGGAAAACATCCAAAAAATTTATATAAATAGTATTCTATTATTAACAGTGCGATTAATCACAATTAATTTTTTTAGTCGCTTGACAGTCCTAATATTTAGCATTTCACAAGAGCTTAGAAGCTGCACAGCATTAGTAAGTACAAGTCACATTAATCTAATTTTGTTTTAAAAAAAAAAAAAGCATATACATTTCAATTGCTTATAACATTAAAATCACAAGTGTACAGAATGGCCACATTTAAGTCCAGTAATACAGATCTAAAATGGCCACCACTTACCTATCGTGTGTAAGTTGCTGAACAAGTTCCTGCCAATGCCTGCTGGCACTTAAATCTGTTTTATACATTCCTCTAATGTGCTGAATCACCTTCTTTCTTTCCATTCCCTGTGACAAAGAGACTGCCTGGGTGATGTCTGCAGCTATTTTGGAAATATCTTTTGACTTTGCATCCAGGCGCTGAGAGAGACTGGGAAAAAAGTAATACGAACCAGATTATACATTAGGCATTTTATACTTAGTACTGAGTGAAGACCGTGTATGAATACCTTAGAACGGGTTCTCAAACTTCATTGCACCATGACCCCCTTCTGACAACAAAAATTATTACATGACCCCGGCGGGGGGGCAGAGGGAGGAGGCAGGAGACGGGGAAACCAAGCCTGAGCGCACCCAAGCCCTGCCGTATCCCGTGTGGGGGCCAAAGCCAAAGGCTTCAGGTTTGGCCCCAGCAAGTCTAATGTCAGCCCTGGCAACCTCATTAAAACAGGTCCTGACCCACAGTTTGAGAAACGCTGCCTTAGAATCATAGGACTGCAAGAGACCTCAAGAGGTCATCTAGTCTAGTCCCCCTGCACTCATGGCAGGACTAAGTATCATCTAGGCCATCCCTGACAGGTATTTGTCTAATCTGCTCTCAAAAATCTTCAATGATGGAGATTCCACGTGTATTTTCAAAGGGAAAGAAAAAGTGAGAGAGATAGCAACTAAACTATATTATAAAGAATAGTGGAAGGATCTGAATAATCCATCACAAGATATTTAAGATTAAATTGTATCACGAAACAAGAGTTTGCAAAGCTCAAAAATGCAAATGCGAAGGCAAATATATGGAGGTTACTTACTGTAGCTGGAGGATCTTCAAGAGGTGTGATTCCTATCTATATTCCACACATTGGGTACGCATGTGCACCATGCGCCTGAGTCTGAAGATTTTAACAAGCAGTGTCCGTTGGCCCACACACGTGCAGCAGATCTCATGCTCCCGAGTGAGAGTATAAGAAGAAGTGCAAGTCGACACCCTCTCAGTTCCTCTTCTTATTGCAAATCTAATCAGATCCACAGCAGAGGGGATGCAGGTTGAGTAGTGGAATACACATCTCGAAGAACCTCCAGTTACAGTAAGGAACCTCCACTTCAAGTGCTGGTTCCTATGTATATTCCACAAATGGGAGTTTGACAAAGAAGTTATCAGAGTGGCGGTGGGTGCAAGGAAGTCGGCCAACGAAGATGCTTGCAGCACTGCAGATCCACTGCTGCATCTGCAGCAGAGGTTTGGACTAGTGCATAAATGTCTAGCAAACATGTGTATGGAGCTCAAGGTAGCTGCTTCTGCATATGTCCTTCATTGGGACCTCCTGTGGTGGCCTGAGCTCTCATGGAGTGGGTCCTTATACTGCCCGGAGGTGGAATACAAGTTAACCTGTAGCATTCAATCATGCAGCCAGAAACCCACTGAGAAATCTGAGAAGATATAGCCTGACCATGGAATCGGCATGTTATCACGATGAAGAGTCTTGGAGACTTTCTGATGAACTCTGTTCTTTGCAGGTAAAAGGCCAGTGCACGCCTTATGTCAAGGAACTGAAGTCTCTTCTCTTCAGGAGAAGCACAGGGTTTCGGAAAAAGAATAGACAGTGAATATACTGCTTACGGTGGAATCTGGAGACTACCTTGGGTAAAAATTTAGGGTGAAGGCAAGGAAATACCTTGTGAAATACCATAAGGGGGGGGCATGTCCACCATGAGGGCTGCCAGTGTGCTAACCCTCCTGCCCAAAGCGATAGCCACTAGAAACACCCCCTATATGGATAGCGACACGTTCCATGTCCCACTTAAGGGTTCAAATGGAGGTCTAGTAAGCTTTGACAGCACAAGGTTGAGCTCTCACAATACTCAATAATGTCGGTTTAGTGACTGGAGGAAAGGCCTCGATGAGGCCTTCATGAACCATGTCAGAGGTCAGAGGGTAAAGAGAGCACCCATTTACTGGGTGGAGAAAGACAATAATGGCTGCCAGATGAACTTGTAATGAGCTGATTGCCAGAGCAGATGTCTAGGTAAATCCAGATAATATAGAATGATCGAGATGCCATTTTCATCACCAACTTGTCCTCCTCTAGAAAAGAGAGTAACTGGGCTCTGTCCTCAGAGGAAAGTTGTTCTGAAAGGCCACCAGCCTAGAGTAGTTACTAAAGTCAGACTTAGTTAGCAGGACCTGGTAACTGGCAATGCAAAATGGCAGGCCCCCAGATGAGAAGAACTTTCACCCCAGGAGATCCAATCTGATGGGGTGGTCCTTAGGTACTGAGCCCTATTATGTTCCATCGCAGCCTGTACAACCAGGGATTTGGGAGCAGAGTAGGAGAACAGGAATTTAAGTCTCTTTACAAAACTAAATAGCACTTCTCAGCCCTTTTAGGTGTGGGGGCGCAAGACTCTGTGGTGTACCAGACCAGACCAATCTCACTGGTTCCAATATGGCCTCGTTAACTGGGAGAGACACCATACTTGGGCCCTGAAGCTGCATAATGTCCAACAGTTGGTGTTGTGGGTCTTGGACTTCCTCCAGAGATAACTGGAGATCACTAGCCACTCTTCATAGTACATCCTGGTATTGCCTATGATCGTCTGGTGGGGATGTGGCAGGAGAGACCACCTCATCCAGGGAAGAACAGGAGATTCCCGTCAGTACCTGAGGTTCTGGTTCAACATCTTCCTCCTCCTCATACACCAACAGAACTAATCACTGGTGCAAGAGAGAGGAGTGGAAAGACTACTGGATGGGTCCCGGATATCTGGTATAGGGATCCCATGTTTCCTGATAGGGTTAGAAAGCAGGACCAACGGTTTGAGGGGTATCCCATGGCATGGGCAACCATCAGTCCCCAGGGAGGTCATGTTCATAAGGATAGTGTCCGTAAATCCTGGAATGCCTGCCCGGGCTTGGTTCTCTTTGTGGAGACGAAGGAGAGATCAGTTCATTGGATTCATCCAAATCTGAAAATTCTCCTGTTATAACAGTGGAGCTATCAGTACTGGTGCAATTCCATCGGATGGTAAGTACGACAGTTCCTGGGACACCGAAGTAACATAATCTACTGGTGTAGTAATGTCCCTCAGGAGGGCTGGGCCAGAGAACAGTGGAGGCTGAGGGTAAGGGAGAAAGATATTCTCCGGTGCCATATAGGTCCCTGTGTGCCCTGGTTGGCATCCAGAGTACCAGTGCATTCCTTGGGTAGATGAGTCAGTACCGCAGAGTCTGGAGATGCACTTGTGGATGAGACCAGCGGATGACTGTCCTAGTGCTTTGGTACTGAATATCACCGACAGAACCAATATATCCTTCTTTCTATGCACTTTACCCTCCATCCTGTGTTTTTTTGTGTGGAGCCAGTTCCTTAGGGTGTGTGCATAAGGGCTCATCTGACCTCGATGGACTCAGGGAAGGAGCTTGTCTCTCATGGACAGTCCTTGCTGGGGATCTGTCCTTGAGCCCATGAGAATGCCCCTTATTCTCATGGGAAGCCCTAGAGGAAAAATCTTTGGACTTAGACACTTAGGGCTCCACTCCTAAGCATGTGCTTGGAGGGGCACTGCTCATTTGGTGAGGCCTATATATGGAGTGGGCGGTCTTTCTGGCCCAGATTGGAGAGGGGCTTCATAGTCTTGTCCATTAAGTGTTTTGTAAGGTTAAGCTCACAAGCTTGGGAAATCCTCTGTGGAAACAAGCAAAAAATGCTGTACCTCACCAAAATGTGAGAGACACACACACAGTTGGCAGTGTTGGTGTTTGTTGCTGACTGAGAAGGATCTGGGGCAAGAGATGCAGTTTTTCAAGCCCAGGAGCCTGGGCATAGTCACAGACCATGTGAAGGGAGTCCCCGGTTTGGAGAACTGAATAAGCTAAAGAATAACTATTTACAATCTTAAGTATCAGAGGGGTAGCCGTGTTAGTCTGAATCTGTAAAAAGCAACAGAGGTGCCACAGGACCCTCTGTTGCTATTTACAATCTTAGTTACTGGTTTTCTGAAAGGCTGAAGCAAAAAAGAGGACACTGAATTCCAACTCAGACCATACAGCAGTAAGAAGGAACTGAGAGGGTGTTGACTCTCAGTGCTTCTTATAGCCTTGCTTGGGAGCACAAGGAGATGTGCAGGCCAATGGACGCTACTTCTTAAAATCTCTGGACTCAGGTGCATGCGTACCCCACATGTGGAATTTACACAGGAACCAGCATTTGAAGAAGAAAGTGGTTTTGTGTTCTAACCAGCTGGTTGCAATGACATGTGCCACACATTTAATTGCATGGTTCACATGCAATGGGAGAAACATCCTGATGGATACAGTAGCTAGCCTTTCATTGGAAAGAATTTTTTTTTTCTTTTTTAAAAAGATCTATGCCAAATAAAAGATTAAATGTTCTGACATTTAAATAATGTCATTGGTTATTAGTGAAGGCAATCAGAGAATGTCACTTACCTACAATCAAGCTGTCTTAATTACAGCATAATAAATGTTGAAACAGGCATGGATATTGATTTTAAAAGATTTTTTATATAAAGTACCCGTGGCATTTTGCAACAGGCTATGCTAAAGAATACTCTTCCATAGATCTTTTACTTACTTTTGCTGATTATTAGTCATAGTCTTCTCCCAAACAGCTTTGTTCACACATTCTTCTGCCTCAAACTTCTTTCGATCCTGAAATTAAAAAAAAAAAAATTTAATTCCAGTTTAACTAAGCAAGTTAAAATTTATGCTTTGTTTTTCATCTGCAAGTTCCATATCTGGAACTATTTTTAAAGTTACAACTGAGACACAAATCAATGCTCCCAAAGACATCAACAGAATCCAAGTCTGCTCACTCGGTGAAATCATCTCTTCTCTCACTTAAAGGATCTTATAGCATCAGACCTTCATTCCAGTAACACTATCATTTAAACAAGGAAAGGAGTTTATGGTCAAAAACATAAATGACTTACAACGATTTGTATCAATTGGTTCCATTCTTCTAAGTAGCAAAAGTTGTTTTTAATTCACATATGGCCTGTTCCCAACTCAGAACATCATATTGTCTAAGTAACATATTAGGACATATAGTGTACATTCATAGCAACTATTCAAAAGCTTGTGTGTTAGAGACAGGAGGGACCTAATGTACTCCAGTCATTATGTAAACATACTCAAGAGGAACCTGACCCATCCTGAAGTCAATAGCGAAATTAGAAATTACTCCAGTGAGAATAGGATTTGTCTCTATATTGTTAAAAAAAATTAACATCTCCAAATGTTCTACTTTGCCACAACCCAGCTGCGGCTAGATTCACAGAGAAACTTAAGTGTGGCAACACCGAAAGTCCCCACGCCTTACTTTTAAATGCCTAGAAAAATCAATGAAATTCACAAAGCCTGAGTTTGGTGCCTAGGCTCGCTATACAATGAATTGAGGGAAATGGTGTCTCAGAATGGGAATCACAGAAGAGCCAGCATGCTAGGCAGCTCCCTAAGCTAGCCAATGGGAGATGCTGAGGGGAGGGGTGTGTGCTAAGCCTCACCTGTCAGGGAGTTTGGCATTTAAGTCCTGGCTAGAAAGGTGGTCCCTCTCTCTGTGTGGGATTCTCAGATGCAAATCCTCTCTTGGGGTTAGGCACCTATACCATTTTTGCAAGAAGCTGAGGGGAATGTGGGGGGGGGATGGGGAAGGACCTCCCTCATAACTTTTAGCCCAGTGGTTAGAGTACTTATCTGGGATATGGGAGAACCCTGGTTCAATTCCTCCCTTCTGCTTCAAGGGGAGAAGGTATTTGAACAGGGACTGCCACCTCTCAGGTCACTGCCCTAACCACTGAACTATGGGATATTCTAATGTGGGGCTCCCTCCGTCTTACCTGTTGAAGCTGTTCCACTGTGGATAAATATTTATTAAAAATCTTTGAGCTGGAGAGAGCAAGAAAGCATGAGACTAACTCTGTAGCTGGTGGTTAGAGTACACACCAGGGAGATGGGATACCCAGGATCCAGTCCCCCTGCTCCAGTGATTTTTTTTAAAAATTATTTTGGGAAAGTGGCAGTTAGGCACTTAAGTCCCTTTGGGAATCAAGCCACTTGCCCTTAATGATATTTCTGAGAAGAAAGCTATTACAATAGCACTAACAATCATTTGTTGAAACTGAAAAGGACAGTTAATTTTATTTAAACATGTTTATATTAAAGAGAAATGTAGCTATGAATAGTCTTTTCTAAAAAGGAAAAGGAACATGCTGATGTGTTCACAGCATTTTCACTTCAGTTATCATAGTTCGTTGATTTTTCACAAAAATGTAAGATATCCTCTGGTATAATCAATCACTTGGATGGTTGGAAACCCAGTTCATTGTCTCTAGGTTCCATATTCAACCATTTTGTTACTTGATTTTTCCATGATCTCTCTTATTTGACTAGAAAAGATGGTTATTGATTATTTTTGAACTAGAGTAAATTAAATAGAAACTGATTACTGAAACTTTTTTAGAAAGTGTTTTAGGTTGCTTATAATCATAAGCTGTTAGACTCTTATTTAAACACCTATTTATATTTATCGATTGATAAATAATCTGAATATAAAAGCAGAGTTGGGAATTTGACCAATAAAATAATTGGTCAAATTGACCTGTCAAACATAGGTCAAATGTTATCAAATAATGTCAAAAATGGTCAAATATTTCAAAGCACTCATTTAGTAGAACAGTAATATAAAAAGAGTGTGTTTATGGTCTAAGATTTAGACTTAGCTATTTATGCCTAATTACAAAAAAACCCAGTTACTTAACTGAGTTACTTTAACTCAAAATTGCAAAGCAAAATGAAGTTCTGAAAAATGAAAGAATAATAATTTTTTAGCAATGTTAGGTTAACATCTAAATGTGACCATTATTCAAGACTGAACAGTTACAAAAAGAACAAAGGAAACTCATCTTCTCTCTCTGTGGGGAAGGAGGTTTAAACATTGAACCTTCCTATCTCCCCCGCACTCCCTTTGAGTTAGTTTCTGTATATTTGTCTAGTGAGTTTAGATTGTAAGCTCTTTGAGGCAGGGATCATGTCTTTTAACTTGTTTAATATGCTTTGTAAATCAACATTTATACTGATGGCCTGGTATACACATAAATGTACTAGAAAGTTCCAGTCAATCAAGATGCTCAGCTTTCAATTATCTTACCTTTTCCCCAACAGGTTGCATTAGCATGTAGTAAAGTGAGTGATCAAGGTATCTAAATAAGCTTGCTAACAGATGGCACCATGATGCAATCAAAAAGGTAGGCTGCCACCTGCATCAAGGCCTTCGTTCTGCACTGTTTGACCACGGTCAAATAGGTGGTCAACCAACCAGCTTGCCACGCCTAATAGAAACTGTGATCATCTTTGTGAAGTAGTTACTGTACACTGCATATTCAAGTATAGCATTAATTGCAAATAATGGAGGTCAAATAATGAATTCTGGTTCACTAGGAAATGCTTATTAATATTCACATACCTCTTTCATGGCATTAAGGAGGTCTGGTTTTGGTGGAGCACTGGGAGAAATGCATTTATAGCCACAAAATTTTAATGCATTCATAAATACTCCTGATGATACTTGTTCTTCTTTGGTCAATTCATCCTTGTGATCATGCATTAACTCATACAGATAGAGGGCTAATTTAGGTCCATGCTAGAAGATGAATAAAAAAAAAAAAGTATAGTTATTCTCATTTTGCCAGTAGAACACAAAGAACTTGCTATATAAATGTATATATTTTTATCTGTTATCTTTTCAGGTACACTAGGACAAGTTTTCTCTACTAATGCTCGTGATCCTTGAGCTATTTTGGATTTTTCCTCTCCTGATCTACAAAATCCCAAATTAGATGAAGGAAAAGCTTCTCTTTGAAAGAACAGACACATTCATATAAAATCCAGGGCAGAAAAACCTGCACCTCAGCCCTCTAACTTCGACCAAAGTAATTATTGAGAGAAAGCTCGGAAGTTAAAAGTAGTAGTTGAAAGCAGGAAATACACTCAACATGGTGCCCCAACAAAAAAACCATTGCTGCTGAATTTGCTCTCTTCCCACTGCTTCTTTAGACCTTCCAGGGATTTTATATCCCAGTGAGAAACCCACATATGATCTGAAATACATGTGATTTAGGGGCCTTAACGATTTACTTTCTGTTTTCTTCTCTGCTGTATGCTAATAAGAAGCCTAGAACAAAGACTTTTACTATAAAGCACCCTTTAAGTTTCCATGAGACCTCAAATAGGGCTTCGCTCACATAAATTTCAAGCTTGTAACTCAATATACAGTTGTTGCTTCACAGAATGTATAAACAGTGACAGTACAACTGAAGGAATGTGTCACTTTCGAGGAATACTGAAATGCAGTGCTTTCTAATATTACAAATATTTATTTATTTATTTGTTTGTATCTGTTCAGCCATTTTTGAGTTACAAGGAGCATAAAACATACCCAATCCCACTTAAAATTTTCAGAAATTCTCAGACAAGAATTTAAGTTTACAATACAAGTGACAGTTGACTAAAAAAAATTACAATATATTTTAATGAGTAAAGACGGAATGCTAAAAACAAGGACATTTGCAACTAAAAGTTCCAGACCAGCCTAACTGCATCACTACCTGCATCTACCTTCATAGGCTGGAGACCTCCTTACCAAGTCCAATCCACTTTCTCAGTATGGGTTACTAGCCACCAATCTCCCACACACACAATCTACCTGTAGCACCCTTGTCTGCTGCATTACACATTCAAACATCCCTCTGCAGAAAACAAAATATAAAGTGTTCCTCTCTCACTATCTATAAGGCAAATATGCCTGAAATTATTCCATTGTGCCTCTTGCAGCGAGAAGGACACATGCAAGTGCACATGCCCACCTTATATGTGAAACCGGAAAGGCATATGCTAAGTAAGTTCATCACATAGTTACAAGTGCATCACCTACCCACTAATTCATCTAAGCAGGATTTATTTTAATCTTATAAATCCCCCAGCACTTTCAGATATCTGCCATTAAATAAACACCACAAAGATCAACACCTTGCAGGAAAAAGGTTTTCTTGTCTTCCCCCCACCAAATGTGAAATTTTCCACACTGATTATGCCAAAGGCTCAGGAAGGACAAATGTTCATGTTGGGCCAGTAACAGCTTGTACATGTAAAAATGCTTGAACTATGTCCTGCTATATTGAATTCCAGCGGGGCCAGAAGTGAGACTTGACAATCTCTAAAACAAACTAATTTTTTATGTGCATCCACTGGAAAAACACTCCTGTAAATATTTTTAAAATTTAAACCACGACGTTTATGTGCAAGGGCTTCAAAGTTTTTATGCTTAAAAATATAGCAGTGCTTACTTGCAGAGGTAGGCTGAGACAATCTCGCATAATCTCCTGGTGGTTTGTTTCACATACTATCTCCAAAGCTCTTTTTCTTTCTTGCAATGGTTGTGCTGGAGACAAAATATGCACTAGGAGTCTTCCAAGCTGCATACGGAATGTATCCTTACAGGACCAGAGGATTCTCCTCCACTGTTGCCTAGGAGTGCTGATTCTGCTTGTAACCTAAAGCAAGAAGAAGTTTGTTTTCTCGTCCCAGTAAACCGGGTTTCTCTGATCAGAACTTTGCATAGAGCATACAACATAAGCTTGCAAAGAAAACTGGAACAGGAAAGGATAGAGTAAATCTGGTAGAAAAATCTTATTGAGGAAGCACATTTACAAATAATTATTTACTGGGACAGAGGTTTAAAGATGACCTTACAAAGGGAAAAAAGGGTTTTGATATATAAAGATGACGAAGGTGTTTTTTATTTTTCTGTTTTTTCGGATACTAGAAATTCAGTTCTGGTTTAGGCTGGAAGACTAGGATGTTGAACTAACAAAACAATGTTGTTACAACAGCCAAGAGTGAAAGTTGACCAACTCTGAGGGACAGGATTTTTAATCAAATTGTTTAAAAAACCCTCATTTTTGTTATCTTTAATCACTAATTATAATCAACCACTAGTTGCAATTTTTCATGAAGGAAGCCTTTGATAAAGATTAACACCTTAATTGACAGTTTGATATCTAGAGCTCACAATAAACATTCTTGGGACCTCCGAACGATACTCAAGCAAAAAAGTCTGAGAAGACCAGATGTGGCGTTCCTGCTAGTTCCAAGGTTAAAAGAGTTAATCCCTTTCAGGTGTTCCTTAAGTCATAAAGGAACAGAAAATGACAAGTCAAATTTTTATTAAATCCATTGCAAGCTCACCTTGGGAACATAGGAGTACAGTGAACCAACAGCAGCATTCAGGGAAACAGTTTTTGGCCATGTCCCTTTTTTGGGGGGGGGGGGGGGGGGGGGGGGGGGGAAATAGCTATAATTTCTTCTTTTTAGATATAAAACTAAAATGCTTCAAGTTTTCCACGTGGACAAAATATTCATTGGATTTGGGGTGAGAGTAGCTTATCTCCATATCTTGGATCTCCCCTTACTGCACATCTTCTATGGCCTTGCTGAAATCTGAAGGATGGGAGCTCAGCTATGACAGGCCTCAGAAGTACTGACAGACCCCCTCCCCCCCCACCACCACCCACCCAAAAAACCAACGGATTCCAAAATGTTTTTCCCCCCTTCAAAAAAATCTTTTTTTGTTTTGTCTTGTTTTTTTAAATGAGCACCAATTTACGTAAAGGTCAAAACTTATCCAATATCAGGATACTTTCTTTTATGCAATGGCCAAGTGACAAATTGCATTTGTGTTATAATACCTGAGATACATCTTGAGATGCAACAAAAACTGAACATTTATGAATAGGAACAGTCCTACAGAGAGACAGCATTTCCCCCAGTGGGGGCTCCTTAAGCAATACGATGTAATACAGATTTACTGTCTAGTTACTTACAATAGATACTTTGATTCCTTCAATCATCATTTTGAACATTTCTTTCAGAAAAGAATTTGTATTATTAGGCAGTTCTCGTTGGTCCTCCTCTTCAGAGGCTTCCAGCTGGGATGTTGAAAGTCTGCATTGAATTGTGGTCTCTGGTGTACCCAATACATCAAAACAATCTTCAGTAGGTTCTTAAATGTTAAGAAGCACAAACAGATCAATGGCATCTCAGACCATGCAACTTAATCCTAGTGTACTGTAAGCAGTACTAGTCAAATATCCACTGTACTACACTGTGAATATATAAACAGTTAATCTAGACACTGGTTAAACCAAATTAAAAATTAGAGTTAATCATTTAAAGACTCCATTCTGCAACTATTCCACATGCAGAACGTCCATACATTTCAAGTCCCGCAAACAGCAAAAGTGGCCCCTAAATAACATGATTCTCCTTAAAAATTAAACAAATTCACAGAAATGGGGCAAACAAAGGTGACTGACTAACTTTAGTAAATGGAACGGTTCTGACAAGCCATATGGACACTGAACCCACATACACTAGATTTCTGTTGCATATAAAAGTTTCCTTAAATGGGGGACGGGACGGGGACAGGACACTTGGTGTATTGCAAGTCATACAATAGGAGTCCATTAGCATTTGGCTTAGAAATCTAATGAAAAGCTGGCAGAGACTTCAGAACAAAACTAACAGGAAGAGGCAAACGGCAAGAGGGGGACCATATCTTGATGTGAACACCAAAGGTCTGTTCTGGTATATTCGGTGGTACAAAGAGAGACATCTTTATGCATCCGAAGAAGTGGGCTGTAGCCCACGAAAGCTTATGCTCTAATAAATTTGTTAGTCTCTAAGGTGCCACAAGTACTCCTGTTCTTTTTGCAGATACAGACTAACACGGCTGCTACTCTGAAACCTGTCAAAGAGAGACAGGCATTCTTCACCAAGGAATTAAATTGACAGCAAGTTTGCTTCATGAAAAAGGGATCTCAACCAGGCTTGGTTGAAAACACTGGAGACAACACTGGGTGAGAAACTTCTCAGGACAGGAATTAGTTAAATTTAAGCTTTAGAATGCCTGTTACAACTTTGGTTTAGATATAACCATTTGTTAACATCTCTCACACTATTTCTTATCTGAATCTCCATTTCCCTCTTTAATAAATTTCCTTTTGTTTTATAATTGAACTCAAGTGCTACGTGTAATACAAGAGCAGTGGTCTAAGATAAAACTGGTGAACTGTGTTATACCGTTCCTTCGGGTACAGAGGATCTGAGATTTGTGGGTATCCAGTGATCAGGGGCTGGATACCACAGAAGGGACTCAGGGCTGGGGTACATTTGTTGTCATCCAGCAAGGCAAAAAACAGGGCTGGTATAGTCCAGAAGACAGTGCCTGAGTGGCTGACAGGCTGGTTGTGTTAGGAGACTAATGCTCTGCTAGCACAAGCAAGAGTTCCTCAAATTGGAGGCAGCTGGTAACAGGGCACCCATGTCTGAGAGTCACCTTAAGAAGTATCACAGGCCCTCCCACCCTCTGAAACCAGCAGGAGTTGAAGTGGGGGAGACCGTCTGCCCCCCAAAAGACTTATGAGAAGGTGGGGGAGTCAAGACCTGGAATGTGAGGTAAATTGGTGGCAGCACATGGCTGTAGGGACATAGGGAAATGGGGAAGGACAGTCATACAGAATTTCCGCAGACCCATAGTCTACTGGGAAAACCTCAGACTTGGCAGGTATGGGTGCATGTGGAATGGATGGATGGATGTGGCGTTGGGAAAATGGATGTGGAGAATGAGTAGCTATATGTATGCAAAGGGAGTGTATATGCCTACAGTTCTAGAATTGGAAAAGGAGTAGGTGTGGAGTGAAAGTCTGTATGTAAAGACTACAAATTGAATGAAAGTGGGTGGTGGAATGAATGCATGAAGTGGCGTGGGTGAGAGATATGTGCAATAGGTCTGTGAAATTATAAAAATTAGGCATGTTATTTTTAAAAGTTGCAAATATTGTCAGGTATGCATTATTATAGAAGAGTTCTAAATTTGACCTACATTTCTGTACCTAATAATCTCAAAGGTGAGAGGCAAACTAGAAAGCTCCCCCTTGCCTTAGACATTTCTCACATGAACTGGTCCAGTTCAGTGAGATAAAAATTAGATCCAATCTGTCAAGTATTTAAGACAAGAAGCAGAGACTAAGCACCAGTGGTGAGGATAAATTTTAAAATGAAAAAAACATTAACCCAAATTTTGAGAGTCCTAACACCCAATAAACTCCGCTCTCTTCATACCCACAACACATTAAGAACATTAATACATTTTTAATGCAACAAAACATTGGCACTGTAAGGCAACAGTAAGTATAAAACAATCCTTTGTCCGGCTATGCTGGAAGGAGGACAGGAGATACTGGATGTAGTTTAATTAGGCAACAAACTTTATTCTTATATGCCTGGGAGGACCTGGCAGTTACAAGTGCACAGTGCAGGCAAGTTGCTTAATCATTTCAATATATACTGGGGGGAGGGGGGGGAGCCTTCCATTGGTCTTCCTGCTTAACCATCCTGGTCCCCAGCCAACCCACTGCTGGGACCTCAAAATTCCTGCCTCCCTCAAATGGAGGGAGCTATAAAGGAGAGGGGGATTGGCTTCACGCCATACCAGACATAGGAGCCCAAAATCCCCCTTCCTGCATTTCCACTCCTTTGAAGGATACCCCCTTTAAATCCTTTACTAATCCATTTTATCTGATCACTGTATCCCCTCCCTATGGAATACCTACACTGGACAACAAGGAGTCTGGTGGCACCTTAGGCCTGGTCTACACTAGGAGGTTATGTCGAATTTAGCAGCGTTCAATCGAATTAACCCTGCACCTGTCCACACAACGAAGCTATTTAGTTCGACATACAGGTCTCCTAAATTCCATTTCTGTACTCCTCCCCAACGAGGGGGAGTAGCGCTAAATTCGACATGGCCATGCCGAATTAGGGTAGGTGTGGATGGAATTCGACGCAATAGCTCCGGGAGCTATCCCACAGTGCACCACTCTGACGCTCTGGACAGCAGTCCGAGCTCGGTTGCTCTGACCAGCCACACAGGAAAAGCCCCGGGAAAATTTGAATTCCTTTTCCTGTCTGGCCAGTTTGAATCTCATTTCCTGTTTGGACATCGTGGTGAGCTCAGCAGCACTGGCAACGATGCAGAGCTCTCCAGCAGAGGTGACCATGCAATCTCAGAATAGAAAGAGGGCCCCAGCATGGACTGATCGGGAAGTCTTGGATCTGATCGCTGTGTGGGGCGATGAGTCCGTGCTTTCGGAGCTGCGATCGAAAAAACGGAATGCAAAGATCTACGAGAAGATCTCAAAAGCCATGACAGAGAGAGGATACAGCCAGGATGCAACGCAGTGCCGCGTGAAAAATCAAGGAGCTGAGACAAGGGTACCAGAAGACCAAAGAGGCAAACGGACGCTCCGGATCCCAGCCCCAGACATGCCGTTTCTACGAGGCACTGCATTCCATTCTAGGTGCGGCCGCCACCACTACCCCACCACTGACCGTGGACTCTGAGGATGGGATATTGTCCACGGCCGGTTCCTCGGACATGTTAGCGGATGGGGAAAGATGAGGAAGGAGATGAGGAGGACGAGGCAGTCGACAGCGCTTACAACGCTGATTTCCCCGACAGCCAGGATCTCTTCATCACCCTCACAGAGATCCCCTACCAACCGTCCCCAGGCGTTAACCTGGACCCTGAATCAGGGGAAGGATCAGTCGGTAAGTGTTTTAAACATGTAAACATTTATTTTGAACAGAACAGGAACATTAACAATGGGTTTTTCATGATTGGTTTGCCCTAGGCGCTCTACTTTTCAGTCCTTGCCAGTGCAGCTACTGGAAAATAAGGTCTATATGTCTGGGGATAGAGCTGAAATCCTCATGGGACATCTCTACGAAGCTCTCCTGGAGGTAATTGGAAAGCCTTTGCATGAGGTTTCTGGGGAGAGCGGCCTTGTTGTGTCCTCCGTGGTAGGAAACTTTTCCGCGCCAGGTTATCATCAAGTACTCTGGTATCATTGTCTTGCAGAGCATGGCGGCATACGGCCCTGGTTTTTGTTGGCTTTCACGCAGCATGCGTTCTTTCTCTGTCTCAGAAATCCTCAGCAGAGTGATGTCGCTCATGGTGACCTGCTTAGAATTAGGGGAATTTTACTATTGGGACTGCTTGCCTGTTCCTTTACAGAACTGTAACCGGCGGTTTACAGCCACGCGGTGGAGGCGGGAGAGGGGCAGCATACAGGGATCTTTCCCGGGGACAGCCGCGAGGGGGTGGGACAGGGGCAGAGTTCATGCTTGCCGGATTGCCGGCAACAGGAACTGGCCAACGCTAGGAGCATTGCTTTGAATGTGAAAGGAGGGCACTGCTATAATTTAAGTTTTAAGCAGCCAAAAGTCTACGGCTTACCATGTCAGCCTGCTACCCGAATTCCGCTGTCCTGCTCCGCTTGTCTGATCTCCACTGCAAGACCCCAGGCACTGAATGCGAAGGCCGAAAATTCGACCTTGTCCTGAGTGCGCATGTGATAGGTGCTGTGCATGGTCTTGTTCACAGAGAAAGACTATGTTCATTGTTCACAAAAAATTATCTTTTTGAGGAATTCACTCCCTTTTCCCCATCCCACAGCTGCGACTGTCTCCCGACCTACCCTGGCATCCCCCTCCCAGAGGCTGGCGCAGATTAGGCGGAGAAAGAAAAGGACATGGGACGACATGTTCTCCCTCCACTGGGTCTGCTGGGCCGCCTCGGCTCGGGAGCAGCCCATAAGTTCTGAGAACATGTCGCAATACCATCGATCACACATTGAACGGGAGGAGAGGTGGCGGCAGGAAGACCAGCAGGCGACTCAAACGCTGCTTGGACTAATGAGGGAGCAAACGGACACGCTCCGGCGCCTTGTGGATGTTCTGCAGGACCGGAGGCAGGAGGACAGAGCCCCGCTGCAGTCTCTCTCTAACTGCCCCCCCCCGCCACTAAGTCCCATACCCCCCTCACCCAAAGTCCCAAGAAGGAGGGGCGGCAGGAGCCGTGAAAACTGTCACTCCACCCCTGCAGACTGCTCAAGTACCAGAAGGCTCTCATTCCCCAAAATTTGATAAGTCCTTTCCTTCCCGCCTCACCCAAGCCCCCGTCCCAGTTTCATCCCCTAACTGTGTAGTTGCTAATAAAAAATACGTTTCTGTTAATTACTGTTTCCATCATGTTCTTTTACAGGAGAGTGTGTTTGAAGGGTGGAAGGGGGTTGGTAATTGGAGAGGACAGTCACCTTTACCAGGGTACAGACACGGGGGCAGGTTCAGCAGCAGGTCATACACACATTGCAGTCACTAGGCACCCTGGTCAGTCTGGGAGGTGGTTTTCATGTTCTGTGTGGGGGTGGGCGGTTAGAGATCTTATGCAGCGGTCCTTATCCTGGATCACAGAGCCACGCAGCAGGGGATCTGTAACCATCCTCCCCCGCCACAAAAAGTCACATAGCCCCCACACACAGAGTCCCGAAAAGGAGGGGTGGCAGGCTCCGTTGAAACAACCAGTCCACCACTGCGGACCCCTCTAGGAGCAGGAGCCTGTCATTCCTCAAGTTTAGAAGCGTCCTTTCCATCACTACGCCCGCTCGCCACCACAGTCTGCGTCCCAGTTTCAACAGTTTACCGCAAAACCCGTAATAAAGAAAACGGGGTTCATTAACAAAGTTCCATTTATTTTATTTTTAAACATGGGTTGGAAGGGGGGGGGGAGAACGGGGTGAACGGGGTATGTAGCTGGAGAGGATAGTCAACATTAACCGGGTAAAGAAACGGGGGCAGGTTCAGCTTCTCTTTAAACAAACTTAAGTCACTGGTTAACCTGCTCACTGAGGAACCTAGCTTTCAAAGTCTCCCGGATGCACAGCGCGTCCCGCTGGGCTCTTCTAATCGCACGGCTGTCTGGCTGGGCGTAATCAGCAGCCAGGCTATTTGCCTCAACCTCCCACCCCGCCATAAAGGTCTCCCCCTTGCTCTCACAGAGATTGTGGAGCACACAGCAAGCTGCAATAACAATGGGGATATTGGTTTCGCTGAGATCACAGCGAGTCAGTAAGCTTCTCCATCTCCCCTTGAGACGTCCAAAAGCACACTCCATCACCACTCTGCATTTGCTCAGCCGGTAGTTGAGTTCTTTTTCAGTGTCCAGGGCGCCTGTATAGGGCTTCATGAGCCAGAGCATTAGCGGGTAGGCTGGGTCCCCGAGGATCACTATAGGCATCTCCACATCCCCAAGAGTTATTTTGTGGTCCGGGAAGTAAATACCTTCCTGCAGCCGTCTAAACAGACCAGAGTTCCTGAAAACACGAGCGTCATGAACCTTGCCCAGCCATCCGACGTTGATGTTGGTAAAACGTCCCCTATGGTCCACCAGTGCTTGCAGCACCATTGAAAAGTAGCCCTTTCGGTTAATGTACTGGCTGGCCTGGTGGTCCGGTCCCAGGACAGGGATGTGAGTTCCATCTATAGCCCCACCGCAGTTTGGGAATCCCATCGCGGCGAAGCCATCTATGATGACCTGCACGTTTCCAAGGGTCACTACCTTTGACAGCAGTAGCTCAACGATTGCGTTGGCTACTTGCATCACAGCAACCCCCACGGTAGATTTGCCCACGCCAAAGTGGTTCGCGACTGACCGGTAGCTGTCCGGCATTGCAAGCTTCCAGAGGGCTATGGCCACTCGCTTCTGGACAGTCAGGGCTGCTTGCATCCGGGTGTCCTTGCGCTTCAGGGCAGGGGACAGCAACTCACAAAGTTCCAGGGAAGTTCCCTTCCGCATCCAAAAGTTTCGCAGCCACTGTGATTCATTCCAGACCTGCAGCACTATGCGGTCCCACCAGTCCGTGCTTGTTTCCCGGGCCCAGAATCGCCGTTCCACAGCATCAACATGACCCATTGCCACCATGATGTTCACGGCGCGGTATCCCGTGCTTTGCGAGAGGTCTGTGCCCCTCTCAGACTTCAGGTCCTCACCGCGCTGCCGTAGCCTCCTCGCCCGATTTCTGAGCATCTGCCTCTGGAAAAGGTGTACGATAAGGTGCGAGGTGTTGACAACGGTCGTAACTGCAGCGATGGTCGCAGCAGGCTCCATGCTCGCAGTGCTGTGGCGTCCGCGCTGTCACTGACCAGAAAAGTGCGCAAACTGATTGCCCGCCAGCGCTTTCAGGGAGGGAGGGCGGGAGTGACGGTTGGATGACGACAGTTACCCAAAACCACCCTCGACACATTTTTTTCCCCAGCAGGCATTGGGGGCTCGACCCAGAATTCCAATGGGCAGCGGGGACTGCGGGAACTGTGGGATAGCTGCCCACAGTGCACCGCTTCCAATGTCGACGCTTGCCCCGTTAGTGTGGACTCAAAGTCGAATTACTGTCCTTAGTGTGGATACACACGTTCGACTTTGTAATATCGATTCCACATATTCGATTTAAGTAAAATTGAACTACTCTCGTAGTGTAGACATACCCTTAAAGAGTAACAGATTTATTTGGGCATAAGCTTTCGTGGGTAAAAACCTCACTTCTTCGGATGCAGTTTTTTACCCATGAAAGCTTATGCCCAAATAAATCTGTTAGTCTTTAAGGTGCCACCAGACTCCTTGTTGTTTTTGTAGATACAGACTAACACGGCTACCCCCTGATACTCTACACTGGACATCCACTCCATGTTACATAATAAGTTGCCACATCATAGCCTAACTCCCATTTCATGTTCATCCCAACTAAGCTCCCCCTCCTCCCCCCAAAACCCACTGTGGGGAAGGCAAAAAAACCCCACTTTGCCTTGGCCAATCTGGTGGGGAAGGGAAAATTCCTTCCCAGACCCCCAAGAAAGTAGCAACTAGTGCAGCGGATCCTGACAAAACCCGATATTTCACCACTTCCATGGATGGAGGGTGGCTACTGCTCCACCTGATCCAGGTAAAAGAGGGCTTTTTCTGCATCAGCATGGACCTATATAGTCCCTGCCCTCTCTGCTGGTCACCTGGGGGAGGGAAGAGTCAGCATCCCCACACTGACATGGTCTGCAGTGCAGCAGAAAGCCTCTCCCTGACTTTCTAGCCCTTAAAAGGGCACACTCCTTTTCCAACAAGCAAGACAGCAGCCCCCACCACTTAATGTGCAGTGAGGTCATTATAAGCATAGTTACCGTATATTTTTTTCCCCCTGTTCCTACCTTGATAAATGAACCTGTTAACTGCTAGAACAGTGAGTCTCTGTAACCTCTGTATAAGCTCATTCTCAGTGGCTCGAATAGGATTCTCTTGGCTCATTCTCCGCTGCATCATCATGTTAAGTTCATCACTTGCGACTAAACGCATTTTCATCACCAATGTGTCAGACTGAGCAAGAGAAAATTTCCTGGAACCTTTAAGTATAGAGAAATATATCAATAGCATCCTCATGAATAGATTAAATATCACATTCGTAAATTAATTGCATGCACCAATAGCTCTCATCTAGGAAAGAAAATTGGTTGTGGTTATGAGGGGAAATATTTGAAATATATTTCTTTAAAAAGGAACAAGGAATGTCCAGGTTCTTGTTTAAATTTGGAAAGGTGTGACAGTTTTTCCACTTGAAAATGAAATGTATATAAAATTCATGTAGTAACAGAGCATTAAAGTCTTTAGAGATTTGATGAAGCACTCATATTAAACTGTAGCACATTATCTATTTTCTTTAGAGTTTTCAAAATGATGTAATTTCTCAGAAATATTCACTGTACAAAACAGCTTCTGAACAGTCACTGTTTCACTTCCCTACTTTTATAATGTTACCTCATTACTGCGGTTATTTAAAAGTTAATTGTTCTTATACTAACATGCTTATAGAATGTAGGTTTTAAGCAATGTGAACCAAGATCAGTGAGATTAACAGCTCTGAAAGGTAAACACATTTCATATTGATCTATGATAAGTTATTTTGATAGATGCATCTATTTCATATCTAATCCTGTAAAACATTTCCTGAGAAATGTTTTTGCAGAATGAATTGGTAGGCATGACCACCACTACTGCACCTGCTTCTGTAGGGAACGTATATGAAGTGGATCCAGTAAGGGACTGGAGGGACAGCTCCTGATTTAACAGACTGAAGGAGGGGGGCATCAGAAGTTGACTGTAGGAATAGAAGTGTTGTTTTGGTAGACGAGGAATAATGGAATCTTTCATTGCAAGTGAACCTTTGTTTTAAACAATTAACAGAACACACATTAGTTTTTTATGTAATAGTCTTCAGTGAAATCTTAAATGCAGCTGAATATAATGACCTAGATTCACAGAGCACCTTTCAGCCAAAGAATCCAAAAGCACTTCACAAAAATGATTCACAAACTATTATAGTCTGAACTGGTAGTGCTACCTAGAGTGAAGGTTGCATAACACTTTCCATTACAGCATTTACTTGCTTATGAAACTAATGGTTCAAATTGAAATTATGCATGCCAGGTGTCTACCTCAAGCAGATTTTTTGTGTGTGAAAGTTTCAGTTAAAACAGTTCAGTTAGTTTTCCTTAATCTCATTCTTAAAAATATGTTTTTTTCATGTTAAAAAAACCCACATTCTTTCAGAAGCGCTACTACCTACATGCTTTGGAGCAGGAACTTGAAACTTAAAAATTTGCACTTATTTATCATCCCCCTCTAGTAGCTGGTCCACATAGCAGTAGTGAGTTCTCATCCTCTATTAGTTACTCTGTTAGCTTAAGTTGTAGACTGTGGATGTAAAGATCAGAACGCTGTTCATGTCCCAAGTCGGGGGGGGGGGGGGGGGGGTCTATATGATACTACATGACAATTGTTTTTCAGGGTTGGTTTGTTTGAAGAAGATTAGGACGTTATATACAAATACTGTATGAAAAAGAATGTAAGGTTGCAAAGGCACATGCTCAAGTTAGGAAATGCCAGAATTAAAGTTGCCTTTTTGCATATGCATTATGATGCAATCTTTAATTATATGATCACATAACCCTGTGGAAAACAGTAGTATGTGATCATGTAATTAAAGACTATCAGAATGCAAGGAGGACAAATTATATAGGCAACCTTAATTCTGCCATTTCCTAACTTCAATGTGCGTCTTTGTAATCTTAATGTTATTTTAATGTAAGGTGTGTATGTGCGGGGAGGGGTTATATATGTATGTTTGTTAACTCATTATTTCAAATCCAAGTTGAATTTGGCTCTGGAGTCTTCAGGGATGGTGCAGTGTTAGGTGAAGGAGAAAGTATTGCTGCCCTCCCTTCTTTCAACATATAAGCAACACTTATTCTGCACAGCTACTGAATTCAAAATTCGTACAAAATTTACACTACTGTTCACCTTACATACAACATAGAAAACTTAGATCATCATTTTTTCCACAGGTGGATTTGCACTTAGGGTGACCAGACAGCAAATGTGAAAAATCGGGACGGGGGTGGGGGTAATAGGAGCCTACATAAGAAAAAGACCCAAAAATCGGGACTGTCCCTATAAAATTGGGACATCTGGTCACCTTATTTGCACTAGACTTACGTTTCCCAAATATAGCAGTACATTGATTGGTGAAATGGTCATGTAGTACCATAAGTAAAGTTGTAGGGAACTCATCAACACAAGTACACAGATACACACTTTTACAACCTCTGTCTCATTGAATGCCAGAGTATGAAAATATGACTGGCTCCAACACATAACGAGGGCAGGAGAAGCTATAAAATTCTCTAACACAACATACTATTAAATTATCACTCACCAGCAATGCTTTTACGTTTTTGAAACATTGCGTGATGATGGGTAGCAGGTAAACGTAAAGAATTAGCCAGATCCTGAGAGTCTTGGTTTGCTGTAGCTTTTATTAATTCAATAGCTGCCTGAAGAACTCTGAATTGCAGAGCAATTGCCATGTCTACAAATGAGAGGCAACAATGAGCACATGACATTTTCCTCAAGGTAGTTTACATAAATAAGTTTCTGAAATGTTAGCATGTTTCTTATTTTCATTTTATCCTTTACATCTATTTATATAACACCAAAATAATAGAATTTCACACATTATAAAAACTTTTGAAAAACACATTTCAACACTGGTTTCAAAAAGAGGTGACAAGCTTTTTTTCGAGACGCTGATGGAAATTAAAAGGGGCAAGATATATTTTTAAATTTCAAAACTACACACTTCCGAGAAAGTCACTGCAAAACCACCCCAATAATAGATGCATGTCACGGTATCAGTTACAAAGCAAAAACTCCCCTCCCTTTGGGAAAAACAGCCACCAAATTTTAATATCTTCATAATTTTATTAAAAGTTATAAATGGAAATAACTATTATATAGACTCTCTGAATATTGTCACTATTTTCATAATACTCCAAATATTCCATTCTAGGCCTTTTACTTCAGATGCCCAGGCAGAACTCCAGTTACTGGTACATATTTATAAACCACAGATTAGGACTGTAATTAAGTCACTATTGTACAAGGGTCACTTACAGGAAAATAAGGTACACAACCAGGGCCGGCTCTAGGATTTTTGCCGCCCAAAGCAAAAACAATTTTGGCCGCCCCCCCGCGTTCTTTAATTACCCCAGCCCCGCCTCAACTCCGCCCCTTCCCGAAATCCCCAGCCCTGCCTCCTCCCCCCAGGCTCTCAAGCCTAGGAGGGAGGGGGAGAAGCGGCACCCGCGCCGCGGCCACTCGGAGTCTCCCCCTCCCTCCCAGGCTCTCAAACCTGGGGGGGGGGGGGAGATCCCG